GCCGCTACCACCGCTACCACCCCCTCCACCGCCGCCGCCGGCGCTGCCGGTGCTCATCCCACCACTGCCGTACTGCCCGGCCAGAAGCGCCTGTCCCTCTGGCCGACGTCGCTTCCTGCGTGTGTTTGCATGTTTGTATGTATGTATATTTGTTTGTATGATAGTGTGTCATTTCCCCCCCTTTTCCCCCCTTCCCTCCCTCCCCCCTTTTCCCCTTCCGTAACCTCGCACACTACCCAAAACAAGCATCCATACCGCTTCTCCGGCATAAAGTTCGCGGTACGGCACAGTACGACATACTTAGTGCCAGTGAAACGCGTCCTATTGTCAACGGACAGTACGGTACTTACGCCATCGGCTCCGGAACCACTCGACCACCATTCCGCCGCAGTCCGGGGGGTTTCCAAGCAGGCCCCAAGCCGCCGCTGCCGCCGCCGCCGCCGCCGCCACCACCACCGTCGTCGCCGCCGCCGCCGCCGCCACCACGTTCCCCGTCATCTCCACCCGCGCCACCGCCGCCGCCACCGCCGGGCTGCTGCTGTTGCTGCTGCTGCTGCTGTTGCACTCGCTTTTGTTGACGCTGCTGCTGTTGCTGTTGTTGTTGTTGTTGTTGCGGCTGTTCTTCTTGTGCAGCGATGGCCGCCGCACTCACTTCGAACTGGGTGCGGACCTCCTGGGGCAGGGCGACCCAGGCCGCCGCCAGGTCGCATCCCGCCGCCGTCAGATCCACTTCGGGATGCTGCTGCCGGTACGACATAAGCTGGGCTCGGAATTCCGATACGAACAACTTGAATGCTGCCGTGCTACGGCTGCTGACGTCAGGACTCCGACCGTCGTACGCACTGATGCGCGCCGTGCCGGCGGCGGCGGCAGCAGCGGCAGCGGCAAACGGATCGCGGGTGTTGGTTAGGCGGCGGTTGACAGCGCCGCCGATTCCGTTGGCGGTGCCGTTGGGACCGTTGCCGGTAGCGAAGTGTGTCTGCTGCGGAGCGCCGCTGGGTGATGCAAGAGGAGGAGGCGGCGGAGGCGGCGGCCCCGGCGGATGGTTCCGGACAGCACCGCCGCCGCTGCCGCCGGCGCCGCCGGAGGCTTGCTGCATTTCTGAGCTTCCGCCCGCAGGGCCTGTAGTTCCGTACGTCCCACCAACACCGCCGCCGCCGGAGTACGACAGCCGGCGCGGCGCTGCTGTCTTGGGCTGCTGGGGCTCCGCGCCCGGCGCGCGGGCGAGTGTGCCGCTGTGTGGCTGAGGCTGCGGCAAGGGCGGGGGGTCGGGGGCGCTTTTAACTTGGCTGCGACGTGGGGTTTTAGGGTTTAGGGCTTTTTTGGCTGGTACTTCACTTCCGACGCGCGCGCGGATCGCGGCTGGATTTGGATCTAAATTCGGATCTCCGACCTCCGACCTCCGACCTCCGCCAGCAGCAGATAGTTCAGGCATGCTGTATTCAAGAGGATTTGGTTGGCCTGGCGGCTGCTGCAATGGCGGGGCAGTGGTGGCTAGGCAGTGGCGTCGCCGTCGCGGCTGCGTCGTTGATAAACATGCGGAGATGTCTCCGCTGCCCCAACTGCCGTACGCGCCGTACGCATCAGCGTGCCGTCGGTCACCGCCGCGGCGGCCCCTTCACAATCCGCTACCGCCCTTACCTCGCCAGTACGACCACCGCCGCCGCCACTCGCGCCCGCCTCAACACTTCCCGCCGGGGAGTCAGAGACCGAGCGACCCGCTTCCGCCTGCGGCACCGCCGGGCCCGCCGCCACTGCCGCCGCAGCCGCCGCCGCTGGTAGAAGCCTCTCCATGCCGCTGTTGCTGCCGCCGCCGCCGCCGCCGCCGCCGCCAACCTCGGAGGCTGGCGCCGCGGCGGCGGCAAGCATGGAAGCTGCCGCAGCCATCGTCGTCGCCGCGTCTGCATGCCCCTTCGAGCAGTACGGAAAAACGCAGTACGGACAGCATTCGTGCCGTGTCGTGCTATCGTTCTCAAACCCCCCCAAAACGAAGTTTTGGACATGCCCGCCGATACACACACATAAAACACACACCCGAGCGCAAGGGGTCATAAGCAAAAAAAGGGGGGTAAGTTTGAAACCCTCCTCCCTGCAAATCCACACATGCCCCCCCCACACATACACACATACAAACACACGCACGCGTCGGCCTACCTGGAGAATTCTCAGTGCCTCCGGCTCCAGGGGGGCAGCACCCCCAGCTCCGCCGTACCCTCCGAAGCTGTAGACCAGCACCCCCGGACCCGACGGCAACGCCACCAAGCTGTGTCCGTACCGACCTGCCGTACAAAAAGGGTGTGTTCCGTGCGCGTGCGCGTGTGTGTGTGTGTGTTTTGCGCGTGTCGTAATGCTGTATCCAAAACCCCGGTTGGTGGATTGTCGTCGTGTGGTAGGGGTAGGGGTAGGGGTAGGGGTAGGGGTAGGGGTAGGGGTAGGGGTAGGGGTAGGGGTAGGGGTAGGGGTAGGGGTAGGGGTAGGGGTAGGGGTAGGGGTAGGGGTAGGGGTAGGGGTAGGGGTAGGGGTAGGGGTAGGGGTAGGGGTAGGGGTAGGGGTAGGGGTAGGGGTAGGGGTAGGGGTAGGGGTAGGGGTAGGGGTAGGGGTAGGGGTAGGGGTAGGGGTAGGGGTAGGGGTAGGGGTAGGGGTGGTTGGGAAAGGCCATCAACAAAAGGGGGTCAATGCATCTCCGCCGTACATTCACAGTCCGTGGAGGGTAACTCGGGGTTGACCACCTTAAGTATTAGAGGGAAGGTCCTTTAGCTGCTCCTTCACGGGGCGCCTAAACCCCCCAACCCACCTCTCAGTCTCTGCCCTGGGAGCACCTGCAGCTGCAACCACACGGCGTCCGTACTCTGCACCCCATCGCCTCGTCAGGCCCTATGCCCAAAACCCACACGTCCGCCAGCGGCTGCCCCCCCGAGTCTCGCCCGCCGAACACAAGCATCTGGCACGGGGACAGTGCGACAGCGCCGTGGAAGGCGCGCGGCGGGGGCCGGCCGGCGGCGGTGGCGGCGGCGGCGGCGGCGCCGGCGCTGCTGCTGCCGCCGCCGCCGCCAGTGGCGGATACGGTGACGGCGGCGGCGGCGGCGGCCACGTCCCGCATGCGCGTCCAGCTGGTGGTACGGGGGTCGAAACGCCACAAGTCGCCCAGACAGCTGTGTACGGCAAAACACACAGGACACGGGAGCGAGTGGTGAGGGGTGCGGGGTGGGGGTGTAGCGGTGGACCCTAGGGAAGGGTGGAGAGGGCCGAGGCATAGACACGTGCAGAAGCGCGACGGTAAAGTCTCGATCCAGTCGAAATCTCTCCTAGTTCAGAGCCGCCGGTTTGCAAAACTCTTGAAAACACGACGCGCCCCCCCCCCCGCCTAGCTCCACAACGGCCCAATTTCGCCCTCCCGGTTTCCAGGTTTGGATGAACACAGCCAACACTCGTACCCGCCATCTACGCCCTCTCCGCCAAACACGAAGATGCAGCCTCCCAGGCATGTGGCGCTGTGCCCCCTGCGACGGGGAGGGGCGGCAGGGAGAGAGCCGGCGGCGGCGGCGGCGGCGGCGGCGGTAGCGGCAGCGGTAGCGGCAGCGGTGGCGTCCGCTGCCGCGGCGTCGGCGCTGTCAGGGCCGTCCGAAGCCGCCGGTCGACCTTCCTGCGCGCGCTGAGGTGGCGGCAGCGGCTGTACGTCGACGTCGTCGTACACTTTGCTGAGTGTTGCGGCGGCGAGATCCAGGCACCAGACGTCGCCTAGGAGCGCCGGGACGCAGCCGTCGGCAGCGGCGGCGGGTCCGCCGCCGCCGCCGATGCTTTTCGTACGGCCGCCGGCGGCTGTGGCGCCAGCGGCACCGCGGGATATCTCACCAGTGCTGTCCTGCACAGTTGAATGAGGGTCCACCGCCGTACAATGACATCGTCGCCAGCATGGGCACGCTGCCTTTCCCTATACACAGGATCTCAACTCCCAGATATACATACAGATATCACGACCCCGCAACCCATCCCGCCCACATCCAGCGTCCAACCGCCCTGAACCCCAATGTGCTAAAATGGTTTTTACCTTATTTGCCAAATATTGGCAATTATTTGCATATAAATGGTCTCTTACAATCCTTTTGTAAAGTTAATTGAGGGGTTATGGATGAGTCGAGAACAAATAAAAAAGTCTCACCACGGCCCTTCCGTCGGGAGCCCATCGGGCCTTATCGGCGGGGGGTCCGGACCTTGCAGGTCCTTGCCCGTCACCGCCGTCACCGCCGTCATCGCCGCCGCCGCCGCCGCCGCCGTCCACGTCATCGCCATCACCGCCATCGTCCGCAGTATCGTGACCGTCGGCCCCGTTGACGCCGTCGACGCCGTCGACGCCGACGCCGACTTCGCCGCCTGCGGCGGCGGCGGTTGCAGTTACGACGGCCATGCCACCGCGACCCATGGGTCGGTTGACCTTCGTCGCCGCCGCGCTTGCGACAGCTGCGGCTTCCTCCGTCGGCGATGCCAAATGCCTTGCCATTCGCACTTGATGTCGTACGCGACCACCATCGCCGCTGCCGCTGCCGCCGCCGCTGCCTCTCCTGGCGGCGCCGCTGCCGGTGACCGCGGACTCGTTGTCATCCTGCGTGGAGTGCTGACTGTCCGCCTGATCAGCGTCGGCTCTGTCGTACGGCCCACTGCATGCGCCAGTCTGAACCTCCTTCTTCACCTTTAGCTTGTCGTGCACCTTTGGCGGCGGCGGCGGCGCCGCCGCCGCGGCACCTCCAACGGAGCCCTCCCGCGCCGCCGCCACCGCCGCCGTTGTGCCATCGCCATCCTCGAACTGATGATCCTGATGATGCTCCGGCGTTGGCGGCAGCGACGGCGGCGGCGCCGGCGGCGCCGGCGGCGCGTTGCCTTCGCCGCCGATGATGTAGATCCTGGGCCCTATGGCGCACAAGGCATGGCCGCTGCGAGGCGGCACGGGATTGCTATGCGAGGCCACCATGCTCCAAGAGCTTGTGATCGTGTTAAACAAGAAGATCTGCGTTCAGGAGAAACAGATGACATCATTTTCATATAATATTTAAAATATATTTATATAAAAAATATTTTACGAAAAAACGAAATATAAATGGAACAAGCGTAGCTGGAAGAACAGCCGTAAACCAGCATAGGTAAAGATGTTCCCTTTTTTTACCCTCTCACCCCTCTCCTTCCCCCCAAAAGCCCTCTCCACCATTTCCTTCACCAGTCGTTCCCTCCCTTCTCCCCCCCCCTTCCCCCAGGTCTAACCCCCTTGGAGCTCTTCGCAGCCCCACCCACCCACCCACCCACCCACCCAGCCACCCAGCTACAGCCGGCAGATGCCACTCACATCGTTGCGGTGGCAAACGGCATCTTGACCGCCCACAACGAACAAACTGTCCTCTGGGAATGGAAAGAATGGTAATGGCGCGCAACCAGCAGGCATGGTTTCGGTTGGGGGTTGGGAGTTAAGGTCCAACTGTATTGTAGGTTGCGGAAATTCCGCGGGAAAAAAGGGAGTAGAAAATCATTAATGGAAAGTCAAGGAGGGAAAACAGCTCCCAACGTTCATAACTAAAAAAGGAGGGAGGGGTAGGTAGCGCTAGGCGTAGCGCTAGGAAAGGGCTCACGAGGAAACGAACATGATGCGGTGGCGGACGGGCAGTGGAAAGGAGCTAAAAACCAAGGAACGGCTTTTAAAAGCCTTGAAAGCAGCGTAAACTTACAACAAAAATAACCAACTAACCGTAGTTTACTAAAATTACACATAAACAATACAGAGAACGGCTACCATGATAATCGCCACACACGAACACACTGTCACATTTTACAAAAAGACTCCAAGTAACTAACCAACGAACCAACCAACTGACTAACCAACCAACGAACAACTCTTCCTTAGAACGTCGCTTTTCGACTGCAACAACCAACCATAAGAACCACAATAAAATTAAATCGCAACTGCAGTACCTTCCCAAACGAAAACAAATCCAATGAATCAACCAACCCACCAACCGACGGACCAACCAACTTACTGGACAAAGTGAGTGCGTATCCGTTGCGAAGGGGCGGCGGCACGCCCTCTAACGCCAGACGCCGGCTGCTCCACTTGGGCGCGTTCCCGCCGCTACTGCTGCCGCTACTGCTACTCGGCCGTAGCTCCCAGAGGGCCAGGTGCCGGTCTTCCTGGCCCACCGCCAATACGACCCAGCTGCCGTACGCAGCAGGGCCGTTGGCGGATTGGGTGACGGCGCCGTGGCTGGAAGCTGTCGTACGGCGTGTGATGTGATGTTCCCCGTGCAATGAGCAGCGGCATGGGAAATGGGGAAAGATGCATTTATTTGAATTTGAATTTGAATTTGGAAGGAGGGGCATCGAAAAGGGGACCGAGTCCGGGTTGGAAGAGGAAGCCCAACAAGGGTTCCGGAGGGGCGTTCGAATTGGGTTTAGTTTCTTTTAGGTTTGGGGGGATCGGGAAAGGGGTGAGGGAGGGATTGCCACGATGCGGTTTGAAGGGGCGGGTCAGAGCTTGGAGGTTCGCAGGTAACGCGGGGACTTAAGAGTGTTTTGATGTGAGTTCATGCGAGGGGGGGAGTGGGGGAGGGAAGAGAAGTTTGTGGGCGAGAAGGGTAAAAAGCGACGTGACTCAAGGGAGGATATGTGGATGCCATGGGTCTTGTCTGGATCGATCGCTCGATCGCTACGTGATGCGATGTGCGCCACACAGCCGCGATTCAGGATTTGATACATCTGCAAAGGCGAAGGAAATAATGAAAAAATTTCAGTCTGCAAGATAAGCGAAGCTGAATTTTTCAAACGATAGTAAAGGAGGGCGGAAGGGCTCCGTGTCCAAGACTGCCCAAGGTCAGCGATCTGATTTGCCACCGACCCAGACCCTCGGACTCGTCGTCGTTACCACGGTGACCCTTGCACAACCGCGTCACATGAACGATAACGGTCGTCATCCGTCGCGAGCTCGCTTTTGAAAGCCGCAGAAGGATTTCTATTTTTAAAGTCCGAGAAATTCGAACTAGAAAAGAGCAGAACTAGGACTTACCAACGGCAAGCAGGCCGGGGCAGTTGCTGGGCCGCAAGTCGGCAGGGCTACTGCTGCCAGATAGATTTAGCCTCTCGCTCCAAACGTAGCCAGCTGGGGACGGAGTGACGCCTTGAGAATCCTTCAGGTTCCTTGAGGCTTGTGCCGCCATGAGCAAGCATCAGTTGTCTTTTGGGTTGGCGGGTAGGGTTAGAATTGGGACGAGGTGCCGTTGTTGCGCAGGTCGTTGGGTTATTATGTAAAACACAGAGACTCAAGTCCACCATGCATTTGTAGTATTGGGCCCAGGGAAGTTAAACTGCTGTCTTGGCTTGGATCGATTAGACGAGGCAAAATTCCTCGATGTCCCAAAGGCTGGACCGAAAACTTTTTACACGTACGAGTCATTCGTTTCTCTCAGGGCTTCGTGTCACGCTTGTGACAAACTACCAATAATACAGGTTCTGCCTTGGTACTCAAATGGCGTGCATAGCATTGTATAGAATGTAGTTTCTGTTTCGCGGGTTCGGCCGGTAGGGGTACCAGCTTCCGCAACGAGACAAAGCTCAAAAGACATGGGTTGCTTTGAAGACTTAGATGACGGGCTTTTAAAATCTGTTTTGAAATGGCTTAACAGTACCGAACTTCGTAGTGGCGCCTGCCTGGTCTGTAAGCGCTGGCTCTCGGCATGCAACTCTCGTCCTGCCCTATGGCGAGATTTGGACATAAACGCCCCGTAGGTCAACTTGCAAATTGCATACGTCTTCACTGCAGATCTCACTCCTGCCTCTCTTACACAATGTGCCTCCTGCTCGTATCATCCACGCAGCTGGGAAGTTTACCGCTCTCAAATCCTTCGCAGCGCAGCCTTCCGTGCTCCTTATCGCGTTTTGGACGAAGCTGGCGGCAGCAGCAGCAGCAGCAGCCGTGGTGGCAGAGTTCGCAGCAGCACTGGCCATTTCCCCTCCGGCCGCCACGGCTTCTGGGCCCACAGCCGCCCCAATCGACCCGCCTTTCTCAGCCGTGATGCAATCTCCAGATGGCTTCAGCGGCGCGCGCCTTGCGTTGAGGTCTTACGAGTCTCCCATACAGAGCAACGCATCTCTGTGGTCGGATATGGCAGCGGCGCGGGGGGCAGGCACGATCTGCAGGCGCGCGCGCTTCTTCACAGCTTGTATTTGGGATGGGGTCTTAGGGTTACAAGGGGAAATCCCCAAGGGGGCCATCCTTTGTGGTGTCGAGCCAAGGGAGCGGGGGGGGGTTTGTTTGGTGTGTGTGTTTGGGGGGTTTGTGGCCAATAGTTGATCTGGGTCAAAGCCAGAGGTTAGCCCTCCTCGTTCATGTGTATTGTCTCTTCAGTCCAACCGGGGCCACTCGAGGCAACCCCAAGCCCCGCCGAATCCGCCACAACTGTCGTACTGTTCCACTAGCCTTGAGGTCATTGACCCGCCTGGGAAGGGGGTAGTGCAGGCGGTTGTCAAGTACGGCAAGGGCGGCTGGCATGTATTTCCAATCCGTACAGCCAGCTTTATCTAGCGCAAATATCCTGAATCCCTTCCCTAACCCGCCTTTCCTCCCGTCCTGACTCTCTCTCTCTTTCTCTCTCTTGTCTCTTTCTATATATATATTTATATATTCTATGTATATATATATGTATAGAATATATACATAAAGATATATATATTCCTTTATATATATATATTCCTTTTCAACCCGGCCCATAACTTATTTCCCCCCTTCGCCCTCCGCCCTCCGCGCCTTACAGCCGTCCGACCTGATGGCGATGCTCGCAGCCATGCCCGCCCTCACGGAGCTGCACCTCATCAGCGCCTGCAACCTCCTGCCGGACATATCCGTACTGCTCAACCTGCCACCACCACCACCACCAGCGTCGACACCACCGACGCCAGTGGCTCCCGACGTCGACGCCGACGGCATGTCGCGGCTGCCACCGCCGGCGCCGACGCCGTTGCGGCCCTTGCCCGCGGCGCTGCCGCTATCTCAGCGGCTGCGGCGTCTCTCGCTGTGCCGCGGCGGCTATCAGTTCGACACGCAGGAGGGGAGTGCCCAGGTGGAGGCACTGGGGGCGCTGCACGGTTTACACGAGCTGAGCATCACCCTGGAGCCAGCAACGATGGAGGGCCTGGGTTACATCCCGGAGGAATGGTCGGCATTGACGGGCCTGACGGCGAGTATTTATATCTATTCATTTATATACATACGCTGTACGGCAATATGTGTACGACGGCATGCATCTGTATGTATGTATGCACGGCTTTTTTTTGCGTGTTCATGAGCGCAGGTGTATGTATTCTCATGACGCGACACGACGCGACGTGTCGGATGTCTGGGTGGTCAAGGGGGGATGTGGGGGGGAGGGGGAAACGCTGTCTGGAGCTGTTGTTTACTCTTCTCTTCCTGCCACAAGGTTGTGATACACCCTTGCCTTTCCCCTCTCTACTGTTTGGGACATGCCTGACGTGACGTGCTGGAATGCTCGTTGTACATCGCGGCTGGGAGATATGGGTCTGCGGATATGGGCAGCTCTGGAGATATTATTTCAAGTAAAGAAATGTATTGCTGGAAACACCATGTAAACGTCCCCAACCCCACTCCTTGGGAGGCGGGTGGCCAGCAGTCAGCATATTTTGCTTTCTGAATCGTGTCTATATATCGCCAGCCATATGTGTGTTTGTGTGTGTATGTATGTGCGTAACAACATTTATCTTCTGCCGAGGCCGTTGTGAGGCCGACAACCGACTACCGTTTGGTTTCGGAATCCGCAAACCCCCCCGTCCAGGCTCTGCACCTAGGCGGCCACCAGCGGCTGGGGGAGCTGCCTTCCTGGGTGTCGTACCGCCTCCCCCACCTTCGAGAGTTAACACTGGAGAGCTGCGGACTGCGCCGGGTGCCGTACAAAGCGGTTTCGGGGCTACGGGAGCTACGTCTGTTGAGTATGGACCGGTGCCCGTTAGGGCACGCTGGGGTGGTGTCACTGGATGCGTGGTTGCCGCCACAGATGGAGGAGAATGGCTGCGGCATGGCGGCGGTGGAGGTGTTGCAGCTACGGAACTGCAATATTGTGGCGCTGCCTTACACAATGACGCGGTGGGTTGGGTTGGCGGGGGCGCGTTCTTTTCGAGTAGGGCTTGTCAGGTTGCGGGGTTGGGACCGTAGTTTAAAAAGATTGACATGGGGATCGAAGTTGAATTGAAATGATGTTGAAGAGGAAGATTGAAAGTGAGGGTTATGTTTGCTAAGAGAGTGGAAACAGGGATCGGTATCCCCCTTCGCGGTTTTTAAACCTGTCTTCATACTTTGGTGCCTTCTCCTCTCTTTCTTGTCGTCCCCCCCCACACTGCTCTCTCAGCCCTCTTGTCTCCCTCCCCACACTACCCCACACTACCCTGCCCTTGACTTTGACTTTGCAAATAATCCCTCTCCCCAACCCGCCAACCAACCAAACTCGCCCCGTCGCCCTGGCTGCCTTCGAGCTTCTGCGGTTTTCTTTCCGTCCTCATCGGCATATCCTCCAGCCTCCACTCGTCACGTCACTTTCCTCCACTTCCTCCACTTCACGTTGCGGTGCTGTGCGGTGTGGTGCGGTGCCTGCGGGGTGCACCCTCCCGTCCCGCCCTCCCGGTGTTTATCTATCCGCTATCTGCCGCTTCTTTTCTGGGAAGCTTTTTGATTTTCCGCGTTGTAAAAAGTCTCCTTGATGCTTTTCACTACTGCGATCTGCGTGTCACGCGTTTTCCTTCCTGCGGTTCTATCCAAGGCCTCCCCCCCTCCTTCCCTCCTTCTCCCCCTTCCTCATGGGGGTCCCTCATGGGTCACAGGCTAACCAACTTGCGGCGGCTGGACCTGGGCGGCAACCCGCTAGGCAATTTGGCGCAGCCCGAAGTCTCCTACAGACACCGCAACATGGGAGCCGCCGTACTGCGTTATCTGAAGGAATCTGGTGTGTGGGGGGGGAGGGGAATGGGGCACTGGGACGGTTTGGGTGTCCCCCGGGGCAGTGTTTTTTTTTCGTTTTGGGCCTAGTACCCTAGAGTAGCGAACTGGGTGTTTCTTGAGGTTACAATTCCTATTTGTATAGTCGCTGGGGGGGGCTGCGCCCCCCCCCAGACCCCCCCCTTCAAAGGCCTTACGGTGTGCTTTTAAACAACACCTGACGTCTGGAAACACACACAAGGTTGTCGATCGTCCGCGCTGTCAGCTGGTCCCTATCTAGTTCTTCTTCGAATTGTTTGGGGCATTGCGTCTGCGGAGTTTCTGAGCCGTTTGCTTTGGTCAAGAATGAACAAATGCCCCGTTGACCTAAGTTGAATGCAACAGCGGGCCGTCTCATGGTGATATCATCAAATATCTTATATATAAATAATGTATAAGCTCCAAATGGTCAGCTTTATATGTGCAGAAGGCATTTGGGGCGACTTATGGCCGAAGTAATGAACCAGTACGGCCAACTGACCCAACGATTCCATTTCTTCCAGGCTCAGACCCCCATTTATTCCCAAAAAAAGTAATATATATTACAAAAAAAACACTGCCCCGGGGGCGCGGCAGGTTTCTTAAATGATTGGTTGGGTGGGGGCTTTGGGGTTTGGAAGGGATTCGGGTAGGGAAGGGAGGGGAGGGGAGGATGAAAGGGTGAACGGTGTTTTGCATCCGGTATATGCTAGATGCTGACGCAGCATCTCTTCTCCTTCTTCTCCACCTTTTTTCTCCTCCCTCCGTTTTCATACATCTCTTCCTCCTCATTGCTGCCCCTTCGCTGTTCCCTTGTGTGGTGTTCAGGCGACCGAGGTTTCAGCGAGCTGGTGTGTCTGACCCGGCTGGGGCACCTGGGGCTGCAAGGCTGCGGACTGGGCACCCTACCCCTGGGTGTGGCTGACCTCACGCAGCTGACCTCCCTGGACCTCAGGTGGGGGGGGTAGGGGGTAGGGGGGTAGGGGCTGAAGAGTGGGAGGTGCTAGGGGGGGCTAGGGGGGACTGGATGACTGGAAAGGAGGCTGGAGGGGGAAATCGTTTCGGGGCTGGCTGGCTGGCTGGCATGATGTATGTATGTATGTATGTATGTATGTATGTATGTATGTATGTATGTATGTATGTATGTATGTATGTATGTATGTATGTAGCTAGGGCGGGAGTTGGAGCTACGTTGTCAGGAGCGGTTGATGGCTGGCTGGCTGGGTCATAACAACAACCTGGGCAACCAGATGGCCGACTGGGTGGAAGTGTTTTAGAGAAGTGAGCCGCGAGTGGGAGCTCGTACTACTATGTACTGTACTGCATTAAGCTATACCGTACTGCATTAAGCTGTACTGTACTGCTTTCCCCTTTGCAGCGGCAATCCGGAGTTGGAGCTGAATTCAGGTCGGGTGGCGGACCTTCTTGCGGGGCAGCTGCCGCAGTTGGAGAGTCTTCGCCTGGTGGAGACGTCTGCGGGGGAACAGCTGCGTGACCAACAGGATTTGAACCTGCACCACGGGTTGCGTACCCTAATCTTGGAGTGAGATGTTTTAGGATTATGTCGGAAAATTGTATTACAAGTTAAAAAAAACATCTATTTGTGACGTTCCACTGATCTGAGCCGCCGCGGCAGGAACTGACTGAGCACAGGAGCTGAAGCGATTGTGCATCCGGAGCTATGTAACCCCATGTAACCACACAAACACACACACACACACATGTGGGGTCGGGTGTGTGTGTGTAGGTATGGAGACATCGGGAAAGAAGCGCAAAGCGAGCGAGCGAGCAAGGACGCGAGGTCTGTTCGTGTCACCGTGAATGGTGCAAAAGCATTTTCCTGCTACGTTTCATTGCTGCGTCGATGCACTGTGAAACTTGGAGAACTACACGGCTGCGATCATACGGATATTATTGCGGAGGTCTGGTGGTGTGGTAGGTCCGCTGGTCCAGGGGGGCCTGGATTGCTCCAGGGAAGCTGCACATCTTAGCCGCGTGGTTGGCCGCGCGGTGCGGTGCAGGTGAAGGAATGAAAGATTCTACGGATCTGCTCCCGAAGAAAGCAGAGGAAGCTTCTCCCTCGCTCCCTCCATTCCTCCCTCCATTCCTCCCTCCATCCCCATCCCTATCCAATATTTCAGTGTAAGACCTGTAAGACCTACCGCGCTATTGAGGCCGGTATCCTGTTGTCCATGCACATCTGTGCCCACAGTCCACAGCCACATCCGTGGCCCCATGTCACTCCCCTCGCGCGCTCCCTCTCTCGCGCCCTCTCTCGCTGTCCATCTCTCACTCTCCCCCTAGCTCTCTCCCTCGCTGTCCTCGCTGTCCACCTCGCTCCCTCTCTCGCTCTCCCCCTAGCTCCCCTCGCACTCTCTCCCCCCTCTCTCTCGCACCCTCTCTTGCGCCACCTTTCGTTCCCCCTCTCGGGTGGCCTCCAAAAGCAAGACCAGGTCCTAGCTTTTTAAACGCATCGCGAACTAATACACTAACACAGAGCATGTTGGAGGCCATGAAATGGGAGCCAGTACGTCTGGCGAGAGTATGTTGGCTCACCGCAACTCAGTTATCCCCTTTGGGCGGTAGTCTGGGCTGACAGTGCGGTGTTTTCCTGTCCTCCATGGCTTTTTGGCGTATAGATATTGCCCTTGGGCCTTCGGCTCGTATGGGTAGTCTTACAGGTATGGGGTCGCGCACCCCCAACCATGTAACACATTCACACATACACACTACACAGGATTTCCGCTGTAGCCTTCAGAGAGCAACGAGAATGAACTCAGGAGCGCCGACGAGTTCCTTTGCCTTAAGCTTTCTTCAGCAATATGTAGCAGTCAGCAGTTTTCGGTTGTTGTTACGCCACACGATTTGCTGAGGATGCGGAGTGAAAATCATGAAGCTGGGGGAGATCCGGAACGTAGGTGCAATCGAAATATGCGTAATGGAAAACCAACGAAGGGAGAGGATGCAGTGATGGTTGATTCCATGTTGTGCATTTGGTACTGTCTTTGAGTAACTGGGATAGGGGAACCGACAACAAGCCGACATGTCAAGGCATTGCTATGGCAAAATGTTGCGGAACTACCTAACTGTACCGTGTTTGTAGGAGCTCGGGGATCTTTGATCAATCTTAAAACATTTGCACCTTTCCATTTTACGACCTGGCAATTAGGAACGGGAGGGACGAGCAATTGAACTATACTGGCCTATACTGGCCTAAGCGGAGCCCCAAATAACGTTATGTGATGATAAATGATTTCGTCTAAAGCAACTATGTCGATCGCTTTTTTTTATCTGCGCTGCCAGTTGTCAGGGACTCTGTAATTTAGGATCGCAGCTACGCAGGCCCACAAAGTTAGTATCTGCGCAACGACCAACGTTCGGGGCCCAACGGATGGGGACCACTCCGGCCCAACGCCCAACGGCAAGGTACTTTTGACATCACATATAGGGGTGGGCAACGCATATTTCCGGCAACGTGAGAACTTGCGGTCCGTTTCGTCCCTCGCGGTCAAATTTGACTGTCCCCCGGCGACCATTTACTAAGCAGGTCATAAAAAATAGTGCGTAATAGGGATTTATATAAGGCAAGGAATTAAATTATGTCGTGTTTATCGGCACCTGCGGACTGCGCAATTGTTTGCGGTAAGGGCACATGATCGGCCTGTCTAGCGGTTGGTTGGTTTGCGCTACCTACGCGCCGAAGGCTACCTTGAAGAATTTCACGCTGAGTTGGTAGTAAATAATAAAATGTATTGCAGACAATGGCTCGGGCGTTGTAAAGGCCGGTTTTTCGGGCGAGGACGCACCACGCGTAATGTTTGCAAGTGTAACTGGGCGACCCCGTCATTTCATGGCCATGGTAAATGAAATATTCTGAAAGTAAATTTTTATCTCATCATAATAAGCATTTTACCACCTAAAAGGTGGTGTGGCCTTAAAGTCCTGCATGCCATGCTTGGCTTGGCCGCTGGCGGCCTCCAGGACATCTTCCTCCTCCCTCCTCCTTCCCTCACCCTCTCTACCCACTGTGCCGCTCTCAGGTCGGCATGTCCGCGCGCGAGGTCTACGTAGGCGATGAGGCGCAGGCCAAGCGCGGCGTGTTGTCTCTGTCGTACCCTATCGAGCACGGCATCGTGACCAACTGGGACGACATGGAGGCGGTTTGGCGGCACACCTTTCACAATGAGCTGAGAGTGGACACCACCGAGCGGCCTATCATGCTTACAGAGGCGCCTAGGAACCCCAAGAACAACAGGTCGGTTTTTGGGTGGGGGCTGCCACCGGTGATCCCTTCAGATCCATACCACACTGTTTTATGTATGCGGTGGTTGCAGTTGTTGCAGTGGTGGCTGTAGCAGGCTTTCGGGCAAGGAATCGCCGAAGGACGGTTCTCTTTATTGAAGTCCACAGAAGAACAAAAAAATTGCGTGATCCTTTCAAAGAACACAAATATAAATTTTTAATGCATATACAATACATTTTTCCACTTTTGCAAGTGTCACGTAATGTGCTACTGCCGCGGACGGTGGGCCGGGAAAAAGCGGATGAAGAGGAAAAGGCGGGGAATGGGCGCTGCGAGGGAGAGCAGCAGCCTAGGTTTCCTCATCGACTGTTGTACTCTGCACCCACAGGCATCCTCTGCACCATCCCCCACATGCCCCACACCCACACGCATCCTCGCCACCACCTGGGGTGGTGGCGACGGTCTGTGGCGCACAGGGAGAAGACCACGGAAATTATGATGGAGACGTTTCAGGTCCCCGCGCTGTACGTGGCCATTCAGGCGGTGCTGTCTCTGTACGCCTCAGGGCGAACCACAGGGATGGTGCTGGACATCGGAGACGGCGTGTCGCATGCGGTGCCTGTGTATGAAGGTGCGTGTGTGGGGGGGGCCATGTGTGTGTGTGGGGGGGGGTTTGCACGGCTGCGATCACTCGCGGAGAGGTCCAATGGAATCCTTGACAAGGAGTGCTTTCATTGTACTTTAAAAAGGAAGGGGAGTATGAGAACAGCGAGCATGAATCGTATGCATGTATGCAGGAGTTGAGGGGGAGGGGGGTGACCGACCGGCATCGCATGAGAACTCAATCTTTCCCTCCGGATTACTTATCCACACTTCTCATAATCCTCATTCCCCATGCACGGCTGGTTGGGCGGAAACAATTGCAGGTTTTTCGATGCCCCACGCCATTCGTCGACTGGATGTGGCTGGGCGGGACGTCACACAACACTTGTCTCGCATGTTGACTGAGTCCGGAGTCAAGCTGATCAACACTGCTGAGATGGAAATCGTGCGCGACATCAAAGTACGACTCTTTCAGAAAAGGGTTTGGTGTGGAACGGGAAATCTCGTGGATGGATAAAACCCCGACCTACTTCGGGCGACATGCAAATCTTGAGCCAGGTTCATGCGACTGCCCGGGCTGCTTTTTTTTGCGAACCTGAACATGCGGCTGCCGCGTCGCTATTTCCCGCCTCCTGCCCGCCCCAACCTTTCCCGGCCGCCCTTGCAACCAACTCACTTTTATCAAGCTGTAGTAGCTGGCCGCTGAAAAGGCCTATCGAGATGCTGGTGGTCGCGCTTCGCGCGTATTTGTAGAGCCGTACTGTGTACCAGCTACTACACAAGCTAACGCAGTGCATATACCTTAAAACCCAAAATTCCTTATATCTCCCCCCCATTCATGCGGAACCATTAACTTGTAATTCTTGTCCCAGGAGCGCTTGGCGTATGTGGCTCTGGATTTTGAGTCGGAGCTGCGAGTGGCTCGATCCAATTCCGTGATGTGCAAGGATTATCAGCTTCCGGACGGCACCACCATCAGCGTGGGGGAGGAGAGATTCAGGTGGGTGTCCAGGGTCACGTGTAAAATATCAAATGTATCCAATGTAAGTTGAGTTTTTCCTGCTCAAAAAGGTGTGTTTAAACATAGGCGATGTTCCCCTTCCACTATGTACATACATACATGCTACAATACCCGTCCTGTACAGATGCACTTTAAATACTCGCCACGGCTGCTGCCGTATCCAGTACGGCATATTCATGTCACCATACCGCCAAATAGCCAAAGCACGCATGCATGATGGCGGTAGGTGCGTACAGGTGTGCACACAGGTGCACACGTGTGAGCGTGTGTGAGAGAGTGTGAGTGTGTGTGTGGGAGAGTGAGTGTGTGTGAGAGAGAGTGTGTGTGTGTGAGAGAGTGTGTATGAGAGAGAGTGAGTGTGTGTGAGAGAGAGAGTGAGCGTGTGTGATAGAGAGTGTGTATGAGAGAGAGAGTGAGTGTGTGTTAGAGAGAGTGAGTGTGTGTTAGAGAGAGTGTGTATGAGAGAGAGGGTGAGTGTGTGTTAGAGAGAGTGTGTGTGTGTGTGAGAGAGTGTGTATGAGAGAGAGTGAGTGTGTGTTAGAGAGAGTGAGTGTGTAATTCATTCAGGCACGACTTATCTACGATACACACATTTTCCAGCACGGTTGACTGGCCTTGCAGGAAAGAGGACAGACATACGCTACAACATGCGCCGGACCCACACGGCTTGGGGCTTGCAGGCAGCAGATCATGTTCAACATGTAATACTTAACACACAGACGCGCTTCTCCTCTCCCCTCCATCCCCGACTATTGCCTCCTCTCGCTGCTACTGCTGAACGTGGATGCCTAGGTGCTCGGAGGTGCTGTTCGACCCGTCGCCGTTGGGCCTGGAGCAGGGAAGCGGCATCCACAAGATGTTGACGGATTCCATCAACGCTTGCGACATCGACGTGCGAAAGAACCTACTGGAGAACCTGGTGCTGTCCGGCGGAACGACGATGGTGGAGGGGATTGCTGCGAGGTGCGTGTGGGCGCGCGCGCTGTCGCACACACATGTGAGCGCGTCACCGGTGCAGTGCTCAGGCAATGTTCTGACGGATGATGCGGGTGTCAAAGAAGGATGCTGCGTCACATCTATCTCTGTGGTTGGGTGGCTGGCTGTAGGGGCGAGGGGTCGCAGCCAGTGCAAAGCAGATCACGTATGCAGGGTAGCGCGTGGATGCGTGATGGAGTGTCTTGAGAAATTTAGGACCGGGGCTACTGTTGGGACTTTGGAACTGTTTCCCGATCTAGGTCATCCCGGTATATGCCAAAATTGAAGAAAGGCTGGTCAGTAAACTAGTAGACAGCCTTGCCGTCTCACTCATACCTAGTTTTAGCTTTTGAATTTAACTTGAAATTGGAACGCTGGGCGCCAGCAAGCGCTGCAATTTTTGGTTGTTGCTCACTGGCAGAAATTTAAATCGTGTCGACTTAAATAAAGCTAGGGAAGCACGCATACATACTTTATAGCGCTTCAATTTTAAATTATATCATTAGGTGCTCTGCACTAAAAAACATTGCTACTCCAGATTATCATTCATGCACGGTCTGTCTCCAAATCCTACTTAGCACATGTAGGCTCCGATGAAAAGCACCGACGTACTTCTGTGGTGCTGACTGCAGGCTGACCAAGGAGGTTACGGCCATGGCGCCCCCCTCTGCTACGGTACGTGTGGTAGCGCCTCCGGAGCGCAAATTCCTGGTTTGGATAGGCGGCAGCGTGCTGGCGTCGTTGGCGTCCTTTTCTAGCAAATGGGTCACTCGAGACGAGTACGACGAGTATGGGCCGTCCATCGTACACCGCAAGTGCTTCTGAGCCACGTACTTGAGCTGATTTGAGCGTCTGGGCTGTGTACTGACAAGCACGAATTTACGGTGGCGGCGAGTTTAATTGTGTATATATACACTATACGCGCGTGTGTATGTGTGTGTGTGTGTTTTCACGCCGGATGGCGGTGTCATCAACTGAGAGGTAAAAGCATATATGGCCGCGCATAAGGCCGCAGGAGTGTGCAAGCAAAGTTGTACGGCGGGTGCGCCTAGAGCTTTGGAAGCAAGAATGCTTTGCAGGTATTTAAATAATTCGATACAGAATTAAAGAACGAGCCGATTAAGTGCGTCTGGGTGCTTGGTGCTCGCCCAGATCCGAAGGGACTCCTGTCCTCCAGTGATTAATCGGGTACGGCAGCAAGTACTTATTCATCAGAAGTGGGTTGTGACGCGAATGTTGCTGATGTAGAAATATCGTGATGTTTGTCCGCCGCAGTCGTGTTGCTGGCGTGAATGGATGGCGAAGCGCCAGTTGTTCCGTAATGAACAGAGGGTGATATCAGGGTTTTGCCTTGTTTGAAAGTGACCGACACTCATATACCAGAGAATGGTTTGTGGGCAGCTGCGAATAGTAGATGCCCATAATTAACGGAGCAGGACAGAGGATGTTGCAAACCTTTCCTTGCTTTGCTGAGGTCTAAAGCATTTAATTTTGAGTACAGGTCAACAACAACGCACGGGTCTGCTGGCGGGTCTGCTGGCGGCATCAGACGCTAACCTGGTGTGACCTCATTTAAGTGGCATTGACACCGATTTCAAACGCATCTCACGACATGCAAGAATGTCAGGGATGCTTGTCGTTTCGGCGTTCTTGTTCGTCGTGCAAAACCAACCTTATGCTTGCCTCCATGGCCCTTGCTGAGAGCATTCAAAGCGATGAACAAACATCCTGCAAGGCTGTCCTCGCATTTGCACTGTGCATCATGCCATAATAGGGGACTCCACAACGAAGGTTTGAAAGCAAAGCCGCAAGCTGCTTTGTGAGCTTTGCACAGACGGCGCGAAAATACGGATGCTTCTATAACCCATGGAGTGCCAGCGATAACATTTGAAAAGGCTAACCCATGGCAGCGGTCAACATATGACAGCATGTGTTCAGCATCTTTTTACAGCTAAGAGTGACTTGAAGTATGTGGAAGACTACATAAAGCTCTGGGAATATTGGCGAATCAGCCTGGGTGAAACTTGGCTCATCCAAACTCATCATCTAATCCTATCACGGGAAGCCATATGGGCGACCGATGTACTGCAGAGTTTTGATTGATGCGATTAAACATCCGCGGCTTAAGGCACCCTTTGAATCAGCCTTCTGGATGCATGGGAATCAGTATTTACACTGCCATAATGCATCAGCATCTGGGATAGTCCTCTTAATTTTCTCGACGTTAGGTCTTCCTCACTACAAGGGGGCCCAGACGTCACACACGGCCTTGCCTTACGGAGCTACTCGCGCTATACAGCTTATTCGTGATATAAACAATATTTCTCCGTTTGCAAAGCCAGCTTAAAGCTAGGAAAGATGGCTCTGCCGTTTTATCGGTGCTGCGACCTCGCGCATTTCAATCCTGCACCAGTCGCTTGCCCAGAAGACTTCTTGGCGGCCCAGGAGTGGCTGAAGAAGGTTGTCAATAGCGCGGTGAGTCTCAATATTTGGCGCTCGTCTGGTTATCTTTGTTACCTTCCCCTGCCCTGTTGACCGTTTCCGCTCGCTCGCGATCCAGCAACACAGCAGCGGTGATCTGTTCACATATTTCCGATTGGACCGCAAGAACGATCAAACGGTGAGGGATACTTGGTTTCAAAGCACAACCTTTAAACTCTTGGTCACGGTAATTCGATCGCGCGTGATACGGTCGCGATCGCGCGGGTTCCCGCTGCGGGAGTTGGGCTGCCCGCCGCTGACTTAGGTGTCGTTTTACTTTGAAAAGCTTTCCGATAGAAGGCCCTTCCCACACAGCAGATTAATATAATATTCCAGGTTTCGATTGTCTGCCCCTTTAGTAGTGTGGTTGCACGCACCCAATCACACGTGATCTATCCACTCTTCGATGAACCCAGATCTGCTACCGCTTGCATACCTGATGTGGGTCAACCGACCTGCAGTTTACGTTTCCTAACTGCCCTAACTGCCCTAACTGCCCTAACTGCTCTAACTGCTCTAACTGCCCGAACTGCTCTAACTGCTCTAACTGCTCTAACTGCCCTACTTGACATGGGGTTACGGCTGGCACCATTTGCTGCTTAAGGGAGAATTGCTAAACTGGGTCTACATTAGTCAATTTGTTGTTGCTCGATCTGGGTCACGCATGCTTTTAGCTGCTGCGGCCACGGTGCGATTATCCACTGCTATGTTTGTGTGTGGTGGTTACAGTGGTTTGTTACAGGGCTTTGCAACCTGATCTAAAGCTTCCTTGTGTCTGACTTTAGTTGCGGCTAGTTTTCTTTCTCTCTGAGGTCTGTGAGACCAACAGGCACATCGCGCTCATGCATGCTGCACCCAGGCGAGCGGGAGAGAATATCAACATTCTCCCCCAGCGCCTCAATAATGGCTATTGACCTGACCGTCCAATGCGCAACCCCACCCCACGGCTCTTACAGACGCAACCCCAACCCCACTTGTATGTGGAACCTTAACCTTGTATTCAACGCTTGTGGCAAGCACTTTGGAAGCAGGAGGCTGAAAAGAATCAACCTGTAGTGAGAACCTCCGCCTCTGTGGCAGCATTTCCCCTCTCTAAGATGAGAAAAACTGGCTTGTACAGCCGGTTGTTGTACAGCTTGCTGACTGACGCGCGAATATCCACATCACCACTTTTTGAGCTCAGGTGAAGATCATGAGCATTAAGGAGGAAGTTCTCGGGTGCCTGTTTCCCGCGTCGAGGCGCCTGAGCGTTGCCCCGATGCTGGACGATGGTGACCCTACCGCCGGCGCGGAGCCCGGCGGCATTTCCAGCCAGGACGCGGCACTGCAGGCCACCTACCTGTACTACAGGTGCGCGCTCTGTCTGCGCAGTCGTGCAAGAAAATGCATCCGTCACAAGGCGTGATTGTCACCGGCGGCCGCAAGCTTCTTACTGATATCCCCAAGCCTGTTGTGCAGCATCAGGTTCGTAGCATCTAGAATTCCAAACTACAAATTTTCAAAAAAGGAAAAGCAGGGAACGGATCGTCGAAACACATCGCACCTACATATGCCCTGGGCGCAGCGTGCTCCACTACATTTTGAAGAAGCTCTTTCCCAAACGCGTCGAGGCCGCATCCAGTCGCTTCGGCAGCAAGCTGACAGTTGCTCCGGAGGATGTACCACGGGCGTTCAACTTGTTGATGATCCCGATCTTCCATTCGTCCTTGCTAGTGGTGGCAGTTATGCTGGTGAAGGCGATCTGGTCGCGGGTGAGCTAATAGGCTTTCAGATTACCTGTTCGTACTCTGTTCGTACTGTTTGTGCGTGCCGTTATGCGCGGCACATGGCGCATTTTGCGCGCACACGGCTAATGTACGTCGCGTGTTTGTCGATCGCAGCAGTCTGGATGCCCTCGAATGCCAAAACCACCCTTGCCCTTCAGCTTTTCAGTTGGGGAGGGTACCTGAGCACTGAACACTTTTCATGCCATCGCGTGCTACATTGCGCATGCGGGTTAGCGTTGCCCATCGCAATCCTCCTCGTGGTACGAGTGTGTGTATGATACGTGTTATGCCGTATGATAAAATCCCCAAACCCTAAAACCCTAAGAAACCCGAGATGTTAACCGGAATACGTTCCCGATCCTGCAGGACCCAACACCCCTCGGCTCGACACCCGAAGAATTCCAGGGCATCCCCCATAAGGCAGGCTTCAAGTACAACATGCTGGCGCTCTGGAATGCATGCAGGCAGGTGATGCGTTGAAAAACAGCTATAATCAAAGCCCGCCGCTAACGTACGGCGGGTTCAGGTTTGCAATATTGATGGGGTTGCATACAAAAGGGTTTCCGACAACAAGTCCCAGAACAAGCCTGATACATGCGCCGCTATACAGAGGCCGCCGCAACTACTTCACGGCCCGGAGGAGTAACTCGAATGGGGCGGTGCATGTTTGTAGTAGCCTGGCTGTCCGTGTGTGAGTCAAGGCTTGTCCTCGTCAGTCAAGGGCTCTCTCTGAATGATTATGATTATCTTCATTGTGGATATCATGCATCAAGTCCACCATGCCGTACAGGTGGACGACACCTCAGTGAAAAGTCCACCATGCCGTACAGGTGGTTTGAAGAGCTGTTTGCCACTGAGGTCTCTTCCGAGAACGGCGAAGACTGGCAGGATAGCGCTGCTGGCAGCACAGCTTCCGCTGCGCCGCAGCTTCCGTCAATGCCCGGTCGCTACGTGCTGGGGCGTTTGATGCGGCTGTGCGAGGAGCGTGAGGTGATGGCGGAGGGGTCCACGTTCTACCCGATCTACGAACAGCTGGGCGGGCTGCTGGAAGGTGTGTGCGGAAGAGGGCCTCAGGAGGGAGCTGCGACGGGAATGCATCATGGCACGTCCTGGCGTACTGTACGTACACTGGACGTACACTGTACACGATGCCGATGGGCATCCAATTTGGGCGTACTGTACACGATGCTGATGGGTAAGTCGTACATCTTTCAAATGCTCCTGTTGTTGATTCCCTGGGCCACAGGCGTGTACGGAGGCTACACCGAGGGCGACCTGAAGCTTGTCTTGACGTTCGTACAGGTAAGGCCAAGTCACGAAACCAGACCGAGCTTTGAGGTGGGGTACCGGTACCGACAGCGACTGCTGTGACCTGGCACTGCTGCCCCGTTCGAAGGGCAAGGGACCCCAGGGCCCTTCCAACCACTGAAGCCGGAACGCCTCCTGGTGTCGCAGGCATATACCCGCCGTGCCGTCGCGCTCGCGGGGCTGGTGGCCCAGGAACTAGTCGAAGGTGTGAAGAGGCAGGAAGCGGCACAGAGGCGGCTTACGGTAAGATGCCCGGATATGTGGTCGCCGGTACATAGCGCACTCGCTCTCGCTCTCGCTCTCGCCCGCGCGGCAAATCATTGTTGAAAAATCCCGTTAATAAACCCTTTACTGTCATGGGCGCTTTGGCAGCGGCGGCACATATCCACACAAAGAGCCGCACAGCATCTAACGCTTGGTTCGATACCTTGATATTTTTTCCGAATGTCCGAAAGCTTGTATAGCGTTGCGCTTTGTTCTGTCGTAATAAGCGTTTTGAATGGTGCGTGTCTTAGGGTGGGTGACAATTGGCCAGAATTGTTACGATCACGTGCTACCTGCATGCAGGTTCACTGCGCTGCAGGTGGCATCAACGGCAAACCGCCGCAGAAGCCCCTGGTGCCGCATGACGTATTTCCCAAGATGACAGCGGACCTGGTGGACACGATCATCACAACCAACCTCCAGTTGGCGTTCAACCAACACATGTTGGTCCTCCTGGCTTGCTGGTGGGTGGCTACTGCCGTACCGGTGCCGAATGTACAAAATTCAACGACCGAGTGCTTCGGGTGACATCATTGCGCCGACGCGCGCACCTTATTGGGACCTCCGCATGCGCAAATATACGTTTGCAGTATATCTCCCTTGCGGCTGCGTGGCCCGATAGTACGCCGCGGGAAGCGATAGAACAGTGCAGGTTGGAGCTTGGGAATGATGGAGGGGAATGGCTGCTAGCTTGTAACTACAATGTAAATCATCTCGGTAATTATGCTTCTGGAAAAAAAACCTCCTCCCCTTTTGGCAGCCTGTACAGCGCGGCAAAGGCCTCGGGCTACCAGCTGTCTTTCAAGGACATCATTGAGGTCATTGTGGACAGGCTTCCTGACGTCTCCGCCGACGTTTTTGAAACGCAGGTTAGTTGGTGCCGTACAGGTTTTGGTACGCCAGCATCCCTTTTGTTTCTCGGCTGTTAAACAATTTGGGATGGCAGGGGCGCCCAAATGGAACATGTTGCCATTCGATGAAAATAATGGTAACGGGTCCACGGTAATACCCCGTGTCGATTGACTTTGGTTGACGAATTCGGTTGACGAATTCGGTTGACTTTTCTGTAGGTTGAGCTACAGCCAGCTGTACCCGGCCCGGGGTCACCGGTCTCCATGTCACCTTGCTGCAACATCAGCGTTCCTGCGGTAATGGGCGGCATTCGAAAGTTTTACAACTCCATTTTCCTGCTCTGTGCGGAAGGTGAGGTATGACTTCCTACTTCATAAAGGTTGGATGGTGGGGTATGTTTAACTTTTTCCCACCTGTCTATATATACTTCGGCTGTTCCTAGATTTCCTTGGGGGTTTGGCTGTAGGTACCCGTCTGGCTTGCTCCCCATGGCTGTGTTGCAATGTTGGAGAATGTCATTAAGTCATGCTTGTATTGGGACTGGAAAAGGCCCAGCTTGTACCAAACGTTACCGCGGAGGCGCTTGCGCCTGCTTCTCTTTTATACGTTTGTAATACTACCTTTATAAGGAGGACAGGACGTGGGGAATTGAGTCCGCAAAACGTCTTGCGGCAACGTTTGCGCGTGGTGGTGCGTAACAGCAGGAGCCATTCAGGGTTGGTTGATCTTCTCCTTTACCTTGACCTGCTTGGCAACGCTAATTAACTTTCCACGTCTGCTGCTGCATGCAGGCCACGTGCGGGAATTTGTGACCCATGCAAGAGCGCTCAGCGCCGCTGCCAAGTCTACTACTACCTTCACACCGCACCAGCACTCCGCACCGGAAGCTTTTGGTGGCGCTTCCATCGCCGACTTCACGTTCCAGGATGTGACTGCTGGCATGTCGGAATGCCCAGCGGCCAGTCTCAATGGCTGGGTCAAGGCAACCCCTCCGGGCATGATGTCCGAGGGCACTAGGGCGCCGGCGGCGAAGGCGGCGGTGAACACGATTGGCGGCGTTGGCGGCGAGCGCCGCTACAACGCACCGCGGCAGGACCGCGCCAAGCAAAAGCTACAAGTCTACGAGGATGACTGCGTGGGTGACTTAATATCCAGGGGCTTGACGATCCGCGATGGCGGCGCATCACAGCAGTACGCGTCCAAAGGCGATGAATGCAAGTCAGCGGCGTCAAGGCGGCTCAGCGCGCCCGTTGTGTTGCAGGACCGGAAGCCCGTTGTCAATGGTGTCAGAGATGCAGTAGCTGCTGCTGCTGCTGCTGCTGCGGAGCAGCTGGCCAAGGATCCTTTGGGAAAGCCTGGCAGGGCGCGCAAGTCAATGCCGCATGGGCTTCACGCGCTGGTAACCGCGACAGATCGAGTGTGCATGGAGAGCAAGGAGAACTTGGTCGGCTGTGAGACGGCGGCCGCTGACTGGTTGGGGTCCAGCACTGATGCACACTGCAACACGGGCGGCTTTACAAAACGTATCGGCGGCAGCTTGTCCAGAGTTCGTTGAGGCGCTTTCCGCCGGTGATCATCACGTAACAGGATTCTCGCAAATTAGGCGAAATAGGCTTCCTCGGGCACTGACTTTAAGCGGCGTCTACTTTTAATCATGGCGAGCGCAGTTTGGTTTGTGACGGAACCTGCGGCAGCTTAAGATGGTTCGCGAGAGCTATAATATTGTATGGCAGGTAGTTTATTCACTCAGTGTGTCTGTGTGTGTGTCTGTGTGTGGCTGTGGCTGTGTGGATGTGTGTGGATGTGTGGATGTATGGATGTTACAGTGGGCTCCAGACTCGTGAAGAGTCACGCAGTGGTTTGTTCATTCATCCTCAGAGGCATGTGCGGTTTAGTACATGAGGGTGCAGCATTTGCTGCTTTGGAGAGCCGAACATGGATATGCCCATTGGGTCCCTTCATTTGGGCATTATGGGTTTTTAGTTTCGTTGCCGAAGTGGGCTGATGTGCATAGGACTGTACGGTAGGATGTGCATAGGACTGTACGGTAGGATGTGGATAGGACTGTGCGGCAGGCGTGTGTCGGAGGTTCGGCTTCTACACGTCTGGACGCCAGTGGCGAAGCCGGGGAGGGCTAAACTGCGCTCCTCCGCACTGAAAAATGTGGGACAGCTGGCGTGTGGTGACTATTGGCTTTCGGCTAATTAAGACGGCTCTGGGTTCGCGGGGCCCACGCTGGACGCGTCCCATCGAGGAGCGACCCATGTTATATATTATGGCGAAAATTCTAAACGGCGGTATGCAGTGCCGGCTGCAGGGGGGTTTGGCGAAAATTTTATGGAATGTTCCGACATGCCGGCTGATGGTATAGTAGGGGTGGTCTTTACGACTGCAATCGAGGATTTTTGTTACGGTTTCTTATTCTTTTTTGTATCTGGTCGATTTTAGGCCGGCTGAAGGCGCTGCTCCCTAGTGCGCACCTTTGTTGGGGTCAAAAGCATTATGTGTGTAGGTAGCTGTCATCCCCAAGAATACGAGTGTATCATATGCTTAGCAATGGCTGGGGGATGATACACTGCACGTCCTGCGTTCTGTCACGGCGGGTAGAGACTGTTGACCGAATCGTTGCGGTCGTAAGAGTTATTCAGGACTACTTGTTCGCCCGGGGATAAATAGATGTGAACACGGTTTGCATTACATCCAGCCGGTCTTCCCTAAATTCGTCCTACTGAAGGGTTTCCTGGAGATAGTAAGTCACACGCGCTGCAACGACGTGCGAACACATTGGGGAGAATTCCAAAGAAGCTTTTGGAATTTTTAAAATATCCAACTTTCAAGTTTAAAAAACGATAAAATACTAGGACGCAAGAATCTGCGGGAGTAAACTGCACCTTGTGCACGCTCCGCAACGCTGTCACTCTCTGCACACCTCCGCATTCGACCCTGGCATTATGCCAAGGCCTAAAAGGCTAGCATGGCTTACAATTTCCCGTTAAAAGAAATACCTGATGCAAAACAATTTTAAAAAGAATTTTCAAGCACTGCTCCAAAAAACAAAAGATATTTCCACTGCCGCATCCAGAAACCCTCACAAAGCAAAATGCAAAATTACTCTGCTAAGTATATGCGGCGACCTTCCACCGCATATGCAGGCACGCCACCCTCACACGACCGCACCGGGCTCACACAAAGCCCATCACAACCTTCGTTGTTGGCTCAGCCACAATCGCCGGCAGCGCGTCACGGAAAACGCTCACCGGCGACAGTCCGGCAATAACTTCCCCACTATCAACACTAGAAAAGTCGCTCTCTGCCAGCGACGTCCGACGCAGGAACGACTCGGAAAAGGCGCCAGGCTGCGTGTCACGCCACGGCTCCTCGCCAACCGCCACCGAGCCCACCGCAAAGCCGACAATCGGCACCACATTCATGGCCGCGAATCGCGCAGCATCAGCCGTAATAACCATCTCCGGCATGCCATCTGGCCACGGCACCTCCACCACAGCCCCTTCCTCATGCAAGTCCTTCACCGACGGCGCCTGAGAAGCTTCCTGCTCACGCGGCGGCCATTGCACCCTCAGCCGCCGCTCCTGCTCCTCCACTGAAGACCAGCGGTGAAGCAGCGCGGCCTTGCTGCGCCAGGGCGGCCGTTCCATACCCTGGGCGGTGAAGTTGGCGGCAATGGCAGGGCACAGCGAGCCCACGAGCCGGATCAGCCGGTCATACGTGCCGACGAAGACCTCAGGTACTGCAGCGGCCAGAGCGCGCTGGTAGGCGGCCGTCGCGGGAGCCAGAGCCAGGTGCTCCCGCAGGGCAGCATCCACAATGACCAGCTCCGGGTTGGCAGCTTCAAAGGTCTTGTTCTTGTCCCTGATCTGGTCTGGGCTCTCCATGGCCACGTCGCCATGAACGTCATCGGCTGTGGATGCAGAGAAAAGCAAGCGAAGGCAACGGAATGTGACATGTCGAGTAGCTGCGCAGGTGGCCACGACAGGGATGTTCAGGAGTAAGCCTCAACAGGTAGGCAGGTAGCAGGCAGCAGGCAGAGAGGACGCGTGTCTGTGTGTGTGTGTGTGTGTGTGTTGGGGGGGGGGATGTTCACCGCGTTACTCTTTAAGGCGTGCCGTAAACACGCCACACAGGCTATCCTCGTCAAGCCTTGCCTCATCGCCAGGCCAACTCTGGCATCAAGGAGTAGAATGACGGAAAGCTGTCTCGGTACAGTGGGGCTGTTAGCTGGTTTTCTACAACCCGGATATCCTAGCTTTGTACCAACGGATCATTAGTCCTTTCCCCCGCTCACCGTTGGCCCGGGTGACTACCAGAAAGGGTGCGTTGATGGAACGGGTGCTGAGGGGCGCCGCGGTGCTGGGCTTGGGTGGGGCCGCCACAACCGCCTGGAAGCCGTGCTTGACGAGGTGAGCTGCCAAGGGGAGCAGTGCGATGCCCTGGTCATTGTTGCCTCCGTTATCAGCGATGAAGTCCTCAACCAGGTGCTGCACCTGAATACGTAAGAATGAGCGAGGGACATGGATTGGAAGAGAACACAAGTTAGGAAAGGTGTAACCGGGCACCATTCCTCTCACAAGGAAAAGGATTCAAGCTTATCAGCAGTGGTCCGCAACGTGCGCAAAAATTATAATTAGAGATCTCGCGTATTTTATGCTAGAGACGTCGAATACGCCCCGTGAGTCAAGCGAGCTGTGCCACATCCCCGTGCAAAACGAGAAACTTGGGCTGTCATCCGCGGCCTATCAATTTTGCACACCTTGCTCTCAAAATTGCCGAAGGGAGCTGCTTTTCCCTGGTCAAACGTAAACGAGATGCACACAGCACGCGAGTAGGCGTGGGATGTTTTAGCGAAGTCCGCCGAAGAAGAATCCAGACCATCGACTTGGAACTGCAGAGTACATAAAATTGGAAAATGATTTAACCACAATGCCATACGTCCGCCATAAGCATGGCTGCTGAGGGACACGCAAAGCATCAACGACGGTTGGCTAATTCGCGCTTGGCATACTGCTTTCGGCCATGCGCTGCAAGGTAACCTTCCAATTAATTTAGACAGACACTACGTCTTGTATGCCGCGGCAGCGACCTGCAGCTACCTGCAAGTCCTCGTCACTCCCGGCCTCGCCCAGGTCCGACATTTCAGTCGCATCCTGCTCTGAGGCCGATTGGATGTCAGCTGTTGCGATTGGCCGAGGCCGGGGTTGCTGACGACGGCTCGTGGGAACATCGATGGTGGCTGACTTGGGCACAGCCAGAACGGCCGGAGTAGTCTCATGCGCGTTGCTCACAACAAACGCACTCGTGCCGCATCACCGAGGTGGGCGCGTTGCGGCACTGACTCTCTGACGTAGTGACCATTTGGTTTTGAGCTGAAGCGGCACCGAGAGTGTTACCCATATTGGAAGTTGAACTTTGCAACCCGAGAAACCAGATAGGTGATAATGTTTTTACGGTTGTTTGAGCAAATTGTAAGTGTTGCGTTTAAACGAGTTGCGCCTTTTGATTCCTTAGGCTGCTGGGCCCAAAGGCCTTCAGGCCGTGGACGGTACGAAAGTGTACGATAAACGGCCTCATCGACCTCATTTGCTGCATCTAACACAAAAGTTGCACACACCGCAGGATGGAAACGAGGCATAATGTTACTTACAGTTTTGAGGAATTTAGCATGGACGCTCTCGGTCGTTTACGACCCATCGCTTCGTTTCAAGGGTAGCGCGTGCACCCATCTAGGGTACAATACTCATACAAAGCGCAAGCGCATCATCGGTGGTAATCCCAAAATATGCAGCCAAAAAGACACAGCGCATCTCCGGTGGGAGCTTCTCGAAGTGCCTGGAAAATCAACCGTTACGAAAGCAGCTCACAAGAGGTCGCACTTTGTCAGCCAGCCATATGATCGCTTTACGGTAACTTCAATTTCACAACGAGACAACGACATATTACTTTTTCTTGGTAAACTTGAACCACGTTTCAATCTTGTCGCGCTCCACTTTCGTGATGGTCCCGAAGTCCATGTTCCGAAGGTTCGGCAGATGGGCCACCACCCAGTTCTGGATACACGGAGAACAGAAACAAAATCAAAGGAATCGAATCAATAAACTCCCAGGTCACAAGCGGCGACATTTGCGCGGCTTTTCACTCAGCGCAGAGGATTTACACACATCTGGCGTCCGAGTTGCCATGAACTCCCACCTTATAGTTCTTCGTCTCTGCGATAGGGTTTCCATGCAGCGTAAGCTTGTTCAGCTTGGGAAGCGCCTGTAGCTTAAGCACGTCATTTATGTTGGTGATATTGTTGCCGTGGTAATACAGCACCTGTGGGGGAGCATGTAGAGGGGCACCAGGAAACAGACAATCTCAATCTTGCGGTCAATCTAATTCCAGCCCAACAAATGCATCACCTACAACAAACCGGACTCCCAAAGCGCGTCACCTAACGTTTTCTCCAGAGCATGTGCACGTGCAGGCGTGCAAATATGAATACGATTACGGTCCGCGGCCCCGAAAACATACACCCCTAAGTTCCACTGAAAACACACCTAGCACCCCAGTTCTTTTCCAATATGCTGTACTCCCCTTGCCCGCTATCCTCCCACCCCTTATCCGGTTATTCGCGTCCGGGAGCTCCCAGGGTCCATAGGAAATGTTATCAAGTTCAAGTCCCCCAAAGTCCCCATGCCGCCGTACTCAGCCTCCCTTGTCAACTGAGCCTCCCTTCTGAACACTTGTAACGTTGATAAAACCCTAAAACCCCAACACCTGAAGAGAAGGGAACTCCAAAACAGCGTCCTCGATTGTGCTTAGCTGGTTGGAAGACACGTCCTGCGACGGCGACACATGCGGCGCCAGCGGCAGCAGTACCAATGTGGCCTCTGGCAAAGCTAACAATCAGGAAAGCGCAAATCGTTCGACATGATGGCAATTCCCGTTTGTTTGTAATGCAGGCTTAAAAGGAAGCTGCAGATCATGATGCCCAATCCCCACCTGGTCCAGCAGCCTAAATCATACCAGTTCCAGTCCCAACCCTGCACACGCCCCTCGCGAGCTCTCAGTGCCCCCCAGCCAACGTCCTCCGCCCCCATGTGCGCACTCCTCTGAGCCACATCCCCCCCTCCCAACACCTCTCCCAACATGCATCCCGCTACAACACTGCAACAAACATCTACCAGCATGCCCAGCCATTTTTACGACTCCTGCTGCTAGCGGCTACTGAGCTACTACTGGACCCCTTTCCAGCCTTCACAGCAAACCTTCTCCCAGCTTCCACTACCAATCCCAGGGGATTACGCACGCACAGGCTGAAACCAAATGCCCCACCTGCCCCCGGTCCCGGGTTCCCTCACCAGCCAAACCAACTGCGAGGGGTCCTCCAGCACGTGCCGCATAACGCGATTGAGTCCGTTAAGTGACACCAAATGGTTATTGCACAGCCTGAGAGAGTTAGAGTTGAGCTTAGCGCCAAGAGCGGCCACCGTGTTGGTTGCCGCCGGATGGGTAACAGAGCTCCGCTGCGCAGGGAGCAGCTGCTTGCCGCTGTTGCCGGCGGTAGGTGTGCCGCCGGCGGCGGCGGCGGTGCCAGCGGCGGTGCCGGGGGCCAGCAGTGGCGACGCCGTGACGGCACCGATGCCCAGGGAGTCAGAGTCGGCCAGGGGCTGGTCCTGGGCGGCGAGAGCTTCAAGGTACTCCAGCGGGTTGCCGTCGGGGGGAAGCGCGGGTTTGTGCGCGTTACCGCTGGTGGGTTCCACCATTACGAGGTCTGCGGGGAGGGAACCGGGAGCAGGAGGCGTTTATGGCGGGAAGGACGGCCCCCGAGCGGGAGAGGCTTTGGGCATCGGCGCTTCCCTGAGGTGTTTCAAGCGTGTCGGATGCAAAGGATATTGGCAATGTTAGGTGGAATGCCTGCAAGGCTCCCCATCATACTTGTCGCTCGTCGGGTACGACCGGAGTCAGCACCAACTTCTTCGTTTGAAAGTATGACCCGGATTGCTGTTCTATTCGTTGGTAGCTTACCAAGTACTGACTTCAAGTCCTTGAAGGAGTAATCGATGGGTGGCCCAGCAGTTAATGTCTTCTGCTCTGTAATTGATACTGTTAGCCATTCGGCTCGGTGTCTCCCTGCAGTCGCTGTGGACGCTTCCTCGGCAATTGTTGGTGGCATCTAAGCGGGGGGAGCTCTGGAAAAGCTCCAGAAGACCTTAGAAGCCTATATAATTTCTGAAAGTCCTTTGAAGCAATTGCTGGAAATCCCTAACCAACTTGGCATAGTGATAAAATAATAACTTCTTTAATGCAAAACACGCCGACAAGATAGCTACCCAGAATTCCTGACCACGTCAGACCAAAAGTGGGTTCGGCTACACTTAAGCCAAAAAAATGACACAGCAACATTTACGGGCAGCATTGCTTGCCACCTGTTTACAGTCAGCGTATTGCCGAGGCTCCGTACAGACGGTTAATGTCAACAGCACCCCAAGACTTTATGCTTACCTGCACAAGGCATTTAATTGGCTTCCATTTCCTAACACATACTCTTGTATCCGCACGTGATTTCCGCATATTGTATTGTGTTTTGCTAGGATACTATTATTGACCGGCTCCATGGGTCTGATTCCTGTGCTTTTGGCTTCAATCTCCAAACCTCTGGAGATTACATACAAAGTCTCAAGGCTCGCCCTTCGGCTGAAGGGCACTCGTAAGGTCTTAGGTGTTGCAGACCATCTCGTAACGTTCACATTGGACCTGAAAGGAAAAATTAAGCTCTCTCTCGCCCTGCTTCTGTTGAAGCTTGTCCATGGCAAACTTCGCTGCCAGAAGCTTGCATCACAGTGTTGCAAGTGGCTTGATGTGCACCGCAAAGGAGCAGCTTCTGGCGACAGCAACGAGCGTCTTCTCGAGGACCTGAACGACTTATTCTGTCCAAGGAATGAAGTGGTCGTTGGCAATGCCACGCCGTTGACAAGGGCCGGTCTGCTCTTTCTGCGTGATTGTCTCGACCCGATTCAAACGGCAGACAAGGACATCTCCTCCCGCTTCATAGGGCCGGGGGGCCAGCTGGATGTTCGCGCAGCCCTGACCGCCTTTTACGGCACAGCCACCGCCCACAAGCTGGCAGACGTGCTGGCAGCGTCGTCGGTCTCACCCAATACCAAGTCCCTCATGCTCAAGGTGTACGACGACCTGCGTTACGCACTGCGCCGAGACCTGACGGAGATGTTCATACTGTAATGGCCATCTTTTTCGTCCACTCGATAAGCCTGCTGCATCTGTGCTTTCCTCCGTACTGTGTCGCTCCGCCAAACTTTCCATATGGTACTCAATTTCAGCGCCTGGCTGGGACTTGGGCTTTGGGAGTCGCGTAAACGCGAGGGTTGTGGTGGTGGTGTGCTGTTGGCGTGCAGGATCCAGACAGACGCAAGGTCTGGATCAAGCCGTTGAGGAGGGGGAACTGTAGCCCAGCAATTTCCAGCGTTCCTTTGGTACATGTCGTCGGGCTTAATAGCCGACGGCTGCATGGGGCTACATATTGGCACTGCGGAGGGGGCAGAGGACAGCTGTGAACAGACGCAGAATGTCCTAACGTTTTCAAGCAATGAGGGAAAAGGCACCTTACCGATGCAATGGCAGTAGTAGTAGTAGTAGTAGTAGCTGTCTTGGGAGCCATCTAGCTATGAGATACGACAAAGTACGATGAAGCAAATGGACAGAAGGAGATAAATGTAGCGCCCAAGGGTCGTCTGCCAGTCGTGCAGTGTAGCCAGAGAAGTCAATGGTACTCAGCGTGATTGGCTCCAGCTCCAAAGCTACAGATGTTGCGGCAACTTCCGCACCCCCTAGCTTGTCGCTTCCCATGGCTGTGCCCGTGTTGGCTCGCACTCCCCCTCTCAGCGCTCTCTCACTACCCTCCTACATCCAGTGCTGGATTATCCAAAGACACAACGCCACGATTCAGGGCTGTGCTGATGGTAGTGCAGGCGCCATGCATATTATCCGCAAATGGAGACATACAGAAGCAATTCGGATTTTTTGTTGTGCTGTCATTATTGATATCTGCTGGAGCGCAACTATTGTGGTCATGGTGCGTCGTATATGTCAGGTACTTCGATCGACTGCAGTGCAGCATTTGATTGGTTAATTGAGAAGATCTTCCCTAGAGGAGGTCAGGGATGTGTGAGTGGTGTTGCGCTGTTGTCGCCAAAGTCACGCAGGGGTCGGGCTGTTCCCAGGGTGCCATGGTTCTGGAGCTGTAGGATGAGCAAGAGAAGGGAACTGAGGACATCCTTGGACTGGAGGTGTGTGGGGAGAGGTGGTACATATGTATGGTTGAGCTGTTCTGTGCATGTCGAGAGCTTTGTTGAACAATAACTCTCTTCCTCTTTACTTTACTTGGACTGCTGCTAGACAGTATTATCCTCACCATCAGGGTGATAGGTTATTGTTGCAGAGCGAATATGTACGGACAGGACACGTACGCAGAAGCTCGTGTGCAGGTGTTGTGTATGTGTCGTCGCCGTGCTGCTGAATCCATAACGATGATGAGCATGGTGATATTTTTATAACAGTCGAAAGTGATTAGGTTGTTACCTCCTAAAATTATTAAGATTTAATTTAGTAGCTGGCCACCGCTGAAAAGGCCTCTCGAGATGCTGGTAGACGCGCTTAGCGCGTATTTGTAGTTGTTATGTGTGCCGTACAGTGTAACGGCTACTACATTTAAGGAAAGTCTCCAAAGGGTTTTCTCGAAGTACAATCGTTTGAAGGATAGAGGGGCGGCAGGCAAGCACATACATGTAATAAATGTAATACATATACTGTTGTGACAGAGTGGGAGGCTTCTGGGCCAATTGAACACATTGTCATTTATACGATTTATCATACCCTACAGCTCCATCCACCATTACCACACTGTAATACGCCATACGAACTGGAAGTCCAGGGCGGTTGATCCAGCCTTCTAGGATCCCTCCTCATCCAGTCACCCGAACATCCGCAGAGACAGAGGTTTTAGCAATCACCACCAATCCAGCGGGTAACAACTGTGGACCGCATGCACCCGCGCGCACACGCACGCAGCCTGGAAAAGCCGGCAGCAGAGGCGACCCCGAACGGCTCGGGAGCTACGGCACCCTCCGGACCGACGGGACCGCGCCTCGTCCAGCGGGTAACAGCTGTGGATCTGAACTCTATGTGTAACTAGGTAACCTCTTTCTCTCTTCAACAGAGAAGCTCAAGTTCGCTATAGTCTAGGCGGTTAGGATATGAGATTTTCACTCTCGAGACCCGGGTTCGAGTCCCGGTAGCAAAACTGTCGTACAACAAATCTATCCTGATCGCCGTACGATGTGCAGACGGGAGAGCCTTTCCGGTTTCCGTGTCTCTCAACGAATCTCTCCCCTTCTTGATGAAGGGGCCAAAATTTCCCGTATTAATTCTTTATAGTCATTTAATTGAGCTGAAATGTCACTTTCTTCTAATTCAGCCATAGCATAACGAGGATCCCGACACTATTGTACGTCTTCAATACTTACCTTTATCCTTTACGTATAGTCTGATGATTCACCTCATATCCGCACGAAAAGCCCCGGCAAAGAAAACATGCAGCCTGTGCTTGCACATGATTCCCCCACAAAATCGGTACCAGATTTTGCAAGCGCGAGGCTGCATGTTACCAGAGTGCATTTGGTGTTGCGTCAAAGCTTTTCAAGATCCCAAGAGTCTTAAGATCCTGAGATTTAAGAGAAAAACGATGCGTGGTTTCTTCCTGACACTGCAACCCGAATCATGGTAGATGCTAGCAGCCATTGCAGCAGCTAACAGTGGCAGCAGTAGCAGCAGCAGCAGCAGCAGCAGCAGCAGCAGCTTACTGGCGGGTCCCCGCAACCCCATATACATCATGCCAGAGGCGCCTCTGGCATATGATGCCGGCTGGACCTGGTCACCCATCAGCTGGAGCCTGCCATCGGGCACATCATTGGTGCCCACCTGCACGTCAGCAGGCTCAAAAGTTAAATCAGAGATGAACGGCTGCAGCAAAGACAATGGCAGGAAAACAACAAGCCGCATAAGATGCCAAGGGAGCTGAACCCTTCTTACATAGGATGTCGAAGCCAGTTGGAAAAATGGGAAGGGCCAAAAGCCTTGGGAGCCAGGCGTGGTGGTGCTATATCCAGAACACAAAACCAGAACACAAGCAAATGGTGGTGTCAGAAGACACCGATTGGGAGAGTTTTCGTCCGCTTAAATAGCGGGGATGCAGCCATCTCATGAATCGTTGTAGTAGCTGGCACACAGTACGGCACACATAACCTCTACAAATACGCGCTAAGTGCGACCGCCAGCATCTCGAGAGGCCTTTTCAGCGGTGGCCAGCTGCTACAATCGTACAGTCAGTTCCGAATGGTATGGCCAAGTCCCGGAATGGTGCACTGTTGACCCATATGCTTTAATGACGGGGCTCCGCGAGCCAGGGGGCCCAGTGGTCCCAGTCGTAGCCTGTGCTACGACCCCCGCCCATACTTCTGAAAGTATGGACTTCCGCCTGAGGCGGCGTTTACTTGTTGGCATCCATGACAGCTTCCCGTTCGCCGTCTGACCCGGAGGTCGGAGCCATAAGATTCGCATACGGTCCAGGAACTTCTAACTACTCTTGCACTTCAAATACTGCCCGCACTCGTAAACATGGGTTACCCTGTCCGTTACCCCTCATTAGTGTATTACCCCGGCCCCTTTGTTACCACTCGGTAAGGGGTTATCCCTACCCCGGGGTTAGGTTACCCACCCCTCTTCGTACATAGCCACATGGGTAACCACTTACCCCTACCCCTAACCCCTGGGGTACTCAACACTTAAGGGGTTTTACCCCTCGTTTTATGCCATAGGGCCGACAGAAAGGCGGCAAAATAGGCAGTTAGAATTCAGTTAGCTCCAACAAACTTGTGCATCAACGAAGCACATATTAGGGAATAGCATGTAACAGGTGGACGGACCTCTCGATGTTCCTTCATAAGTTGGAGTGGAGCTATCACTTTATGCCCAAAAGAGATGTGACTTTGCTGGGCGCCTGGTGAAAAGCCAGGCTGATGAATTGTGGGCACTACCAGCGGGTCGACTTGCCTGCTGGGTACCAAACATATCACAATTTCCTTCTTGCGCAGCATCACTATTTGCGGCATTATGTAGGGAATGCATATAATTTGATACTGGGTCCGCGTGTAAGTTGTGATGTGTGCTGTGCAGTTCCTTGCCTGAGTATTGGGGGGTGACCTTGGATGACCTCCTAGGGCAGTCCTGAGTCAACACTGCCTATAGCTTAGTTCACCATAGCTACTAGCCCTCGATCAGAAATCTGAAAGCGTGAAGCATGTATTTTGTAACCAGGATGAGTTAATTACACTCTTTCAGTCAGTACAGTTGCTCCAGTGCCCCTAAACAAGGTGAGAGGGTCAAAGGCTTCCGAATACTGATTGAGTCATGTTGACAGTGCAACAAGTCCTCAGTGCACTTCCTGGAGCCAGAAACGCCATCTGCATGTTTCATAGCCAAAGATAAACTGCGACACACATACACACACACACACACATTTGTGGGTGAACCTTCTAATAGGACAACCACGAAGAGCTCTTTGTGTTTGGGTGTTAAATAATGCTTGTGGGTCACAATCCAAACAGACACCAGGAGCGTATGGGAGAGCTGGGTAAAGCATAGATATATCCAAATCCAAATCCAAATCCAAATCCAAATCCAAATCCAAATCCAAATCCAAATCCAAATCCAAATCCAAATCCAAATCCAAATAATTATTAGCATCATGCTTTTAAATACATTCCGGCAGGCGGTGTGAGTGACGGTGTGACTAGTAAACAGTGGAAACTTGATGCCCTGGAGAGGTCCAGGGGCTTCAGGGTGGGGCTGCAGAGAAGGATAGAGTTCTCAACGAAATGGCGGATAATAATAACCTCCGCCGGGCGGAGGCGGCGGCTGCGGATGCGGATGCGGATGCGACGCATCTCCGTACATTTGCGGCGGGTAGCCCGGCATCGGGTACGACGATGAAGGTTGGCATGCCGGTGCCAGCGGCAACGGCATGCCATATCCGGCGTTCGGCGGGGGCGGCAGCGGCGCCGTTGTTGCCGATCCGTACAGGGACCCCAACGACGACGACACTGGCGGCGGCGTATACGACAAGCCTGTGTACGGGTGTGGGTGTGGTACGAACACCGGGCAGTAATGATGACCCGGGGGTGCCCATGCGGTGTTGCCATGAATCCGGACGTCTTGTGACGCGGATTTACATATTGGAGAGAGGGAGCCATGCGCAGTTGCCCGCCATCAGGTTGGCGCCATAATAAACAAATTGCGGACCTCGTACCAGCAACGCCGCCTCGGGCTCTGCTACTGCTACTGCTGCTACTGCTACTGCTTGCTCCTAAACTGATACAAAAACGTAACCGCATCAGCGGGAAACTAAAAATGTCTTACCGTGGGCTCCGTACGGATGTGACAGCTCCGTATTGCCGTAAATTGTCGGCTGTACAAACCCATAGCCGCCAGCCTCCAGGCTTGGGCCCCCGCTGAAGGCTGCGGAAGGCAGCGGTGGCGCCGTGCCGTACATCTGGCCGGGTACGGTATTGTACGTCTGTTGCGTTGCGCCGTACGCCGCGGCTGTTGGTGGAGCGAGAAAGGTTGGCGGCGCTGCCGGTGCTGACGGTGCCGTCGGCCTGGTTCCCTCCGTCGTGACGGCGACTGTTGGCGGGGGTCAGTGACGGCGGGGGGCCACATACACACATACATACATACATACATACATACATACATACATACATACATACATACATACATACATACATACATACATACAGGTTCTTCAGGGTACGAGACCGGGTTTTTCGTGGTGCGGCGTCTAGGTGAGATAGGATCTTGGGAACCAGCCGTCTTGGTAGAGCGGTATTGGGGGGGCGCCGAGCTGGCTACCCTCCCCCCCTGTGGTTTCCGGAGGCTTGATCGCCCGGCGTTGCCGCAGGGTCTTCCCGTTTGAGTACTTTTCAATTTAGACCCAGTGCTGTGGAAGGGCGCGGACTTGTGCGGTGTTACCCCCTCGACGGGGGCTATCTCCCCTGGACTAGCCCAGGGAGGGAGAGGCGGAGGAGGGTAGTAGTCTCAGGAGGCTGTTTGGCGTCTTGTGGTGTGAGCTCTTTGCGCTCTTTTTTGCGTGAGGATTTTTGAGCTTGGTGACCTCCCCAGCCCGGGAAGACTCGTCGGGCTCCCGGTCGCCCAAGTCCTGGTAGCGAGCTCTCTGAGATGCTCGGTTCGTTCGGTCGGCAGGAAGAGCCCCCCAGTTGCGACTTCGTTTATGTTAGGAGACCAACGGGCATAGATCCCGTCTAGTTGGAGCGCCAAACAAGCGCTGTTGCGTGCCGGCCGTCGTTTCCCGTGCGGCCTGACCCGGGGGCGGAGTGCATGAGACTAACCAGCCGTATGCACCCGCCCCCCGCGCTGTGCTTCGGCCCTGGGCCCCCGGCTTTTCAGCCCACAGTGTAATCAACGTCATACATACATACATACATACATACATACATACATACATACATACATACATACATACATACATACATACATACATACATACATACATACATACATACATACATACATACATACATACATACATACATACATACATACATACATACATACATACATACATACATACATACATACATACATACATATGCACGCACGGATGCCCCCGGAGGTTCCGGGATCGAGTCCTGTCCGGGTCGAGAATCCTTCCGATGGTGGAAGGTAAAAGTGCCCCTAGTTGATGGACGGTGGTGACCTGGGATAAAGTTAACTTGCGAGCCGACCAGGAATGGAGTTGAGCCGCCGTTGATCCGGCAGATTCCGTTGGATGCAGGTGGTGGGTGCGGAACCCGAGCGATCCACTGAGAAGTTGGCTAGGGTGTAGGGTTGGCAAAAATACTATATTTTTAAACCCAAATAGCATAGTATAGTAAGAAATAGTACTATATATAGTAATGTAGTACTATGATACTATTACTAGGCAGGTACACGCTCCCAGTAGAAGGGGGGTGTACGGCCAACCATTGTACCTGAAAATTACACCGTTGGAAAGGTCTTCTTTTGTTCTTTCTAAATATGTACTTAGACATTAGAAAGCAGATCGCTGCGGTCATCCAGATCACTTTTTGTTAGTTCAGTGCCCGGTGGGTGGACCCCAAACCCCATGTCTCAAGGCGTGTTATGGCACATAAAGACATACTCACAGATAGAAGACCCAGTGTTCACAAGACAACACACGGACGCCATACTAGTGAAGTTCCTGCACTATAACGGCCCAGTACGTAACCCTCCAATTCGGCAAACTGCAGCAGCTCAATCTATCATCGCTCAGTCATCAATCTGCGTGTTAGGGATGTACGTTTCCCTTGGTGCCCTGCTGCTGCTGCTGCTGCTGCTGCTGTGCTTCCTGCTCCTGCAAGCCTCTGATCGCCTTGTCATTCTTTATACTGGATTCCCTTGACATTATTCATCAAAACTACGTAGCACATCTCGAAGACGCGGCTATAGCCCTTCAAAATACAGCTTGACTGCAGATCTCGACTTGGTCCAACTAATACTTGACACTATCCAAACCCAAATCTAGTACTATCTACTACTATTTTTTACTATATTATTTTACTACGTACGAACGCGGTACGAGCGTCGTAAACTAGTGCCAGTTTAGAGCTCTGCATACTATATAGTACTATGCATAGTACTATAATAGTATACTACTCTTTTCTAATATAGTACCCGTGCCAACCCTAGTAGGGTGACTGGATGAGGGTGCCCCGAAACACCCGCGGTGACGGCAGGGTCTGCCGGGTAGCGGCCGCAGGGTGAAGATATGACCCCCCCCTGTCCCACACACCACACCGCACCGCACCGCATCATGTCGTACATCCGCAGGAGAAGGACACGCAAGGACAGCGGAGCCAGGCTCACCAGGACGGTGCGTGTAGCAGTACGAAGTGTACGGCTGCAGCTGCGGCTGTGACAATGGCTGTGAGGGACGTTGTTGGGTCTGTAGCGGCTGTAGCGGCTGTCCGGCCTCGGCCGGAGGCGCTGAAGGGGCGTTGCCGTCGTCATCATCACCCTTCTCCTCCTCCTCCTTCTCCTCCTTCTCCTCAGCAAGTGGCAGCGGCACCGCCATCGCTGCCGTCGGTGCCGTCGGCCCCACGGAGCCCCACGGAGAAGTTACCTGGTCGGATGGCGCCAGCGGCGACGGCGGCGGCGGCGGCGGAGCTGAGGGTGGCGGCGCCGTGGCTTCAGCAGCCGCTGTCGCCGCCGCCGCCGCAGCAGCAGTACTACAACCCTGGCCCTGCAGTTGATAGTTTGGTCCATCAGACCGGACAAAATTACAAAAAGGTTAGGTTAGGTTACATGGAGAGGTCTTACGAACCGCTTACGAACCGCAAAGGCTTGGTTTTACTTAAGGTACTTAACCGGCTTTCAGCTTCCGGAATTCAGATGCGGATGCGGATGCGGATGCGAGCGTGAGCGTGAACGGTGTCGTGGGAGACGGCGTGGCGTGATGTCACATGGCAGTGTGGCGTGGCCTGGTGTCACATGGCATGATGTGCCGTGCCGTGCCGTGCCGGGACGGGACGTACACATACAGTGAAAGAGGAGAGAGGGGGTAACTAAGCCGCAGCTCCGAAACCCGGCCATTCCTCAGCACTTCACCTGGGCCCCGTGAAGAGCTCCAGGGGCGTCCCCTTGGAGGCCGGCCGCGTCCCCGCCCGAGGTAACGTGCACCGCGGAATTCGGAGCTGGCGGCACCGGCGCCTCCGCCTCCGTCCCTGCGGCGGTGTCGTACACGGCGGCCGGCGGGGGCTGCATTGGCGGATGCTTCTGATGTAGCTGCTGCTGCACCGCCGCCGCCAACCTCGGCAGTAGCAAGCGGTTTGCTAGTTCCAGTACCGGCCGCAGTAGCAGGTCAGGAAAGTCAACGCTCCCCGTGTAGATGTACCGCAGTAGCTGGGCAACAGCTTCCGGGTCGGCGTCCGCCAGAGGCACCTCCCGCAGCCTGACGGCGGCAGCCGCCGCCACGTCCGCGCCGCTGCCATCGCCGCCACTGCCGGCGGCGGCGGCGGCGGCGGCGGCAGCTGTAGCGGCGGCGACAGGCACGTGGTCCTGCGGGTTGCCAGTCTGGAGCAGCCGCCGCCGGAAATACTCGCAGCGGGCGATGAGGACCTGACTGTGCGCCGGGAAGAGGTTATCCCCCGCCAAGATGATGACGTCAGCGATGTGCCAAGGGTCCGTCAGTAGGGCTCCGAAATCGTCCGCGAGGCCGCCCAGGTCGGGACCGACGGCTGGCGCCGCCGCTGCCGCCGCCAGCCGCGGTGCCCGCACCCCGGGTCGTGACGGTTCCAATCCCAGCTGCAACATCCAGAGTTTATTACCCCCCCATTCGTACAAACATAACCAGCCGCCAGGCAAGATCGCCAGGCGCACCGCACGGTCCAAATAACCGAGCGAAGCTGACGGCAGCGTCTGTACTACCCCGCCGGCGGCGGGGTCGACTCGCCGTACGACTGCGCCTCCGCCGGGTCCCTCCATGTCGATGACGTACAGGCTGCCGCGGCTGTCCACCACGGCATCGCAAATGGATCCGAACAGCGCGGCCCGCCCGACGCCGTCGACGCAGCCGCTGCCGCCGCCTTCCTCGCCGCCAGCTACCGGCTGCAACCCCGGCGCCGCCGTACCCGATGCCGTACCGACGCCCACAGCATGATACACCATGCGCGGCGTACACACGTAAAGCACCTGGGCGGCGTAATCGTACGACAGCGCGTGGACGAGCGACCAATCGGGGATTTGGAATGGCAGCGTGGCCACTGTGACGGGCAGCACCGGCGACGGCGGCGCTGCCGAACGTGGCGGCGGCGCCGCCAGCCGTGCCCGCCGTACACAGTCGCGACTGCCGTCGGAGAAGAACACGCCGCCGGTGCCGTCCGGCGCCATGACGAGAGGGGACCGTACGAGTGCGGCCCCGCCGGGGCCGTCGCGGCGTCCCGGGCAGCCGGGCTGGCCCGCCACGAGCTCCACGTGGCCGTCAGCGTCCAGTCGTACAATGGTGTCGTACGTGGACACGAAACAAAGGCAGCCGTCGCCGACGGGGCCCACATCGCCAACGGCGTAGACTGGAGCGCGCGCGGCACCGTCGGCACGGTCATTGTCGCCAGCGCCGCCGGCAGCGGGCGGGGGAGACCAGGTGTACGGCAGGGAGCGTCCGTCAGCAGTGCGCTCCATAAGCGCCAGCGGCGGGCCCAGGCGAATTTCTGTGGCTCCGGCAGCATCGTCCTCGAGTCCTAGCAAGGGTTGAATGCCCCGCTCTGTGCAGACCAGGGCCTGCTGTGCTCCGCCGGGCAGCTTCCGAACGAACACTGCCGTGACGCGCTCCGTGGAAAGCGTGATCTGTAACGGCACGGGATGATAGTGACCATTAGACGTCTTCGCGGCTGCTTTGAAGCAACTCGCCTACTGTAGCCATGGGTTGCGATGCATGTATGGGATGTGGGATAATGGAACACCCAAAAATATCAATCAACGCAGATACGGTGAATTCCTCCACATGGAGTTAAATAACATCTACCGGCTGTTATTTGATAAAACTTAGCAACCTTTAGGAAGTGAACCTCAGTCAAAAGGGAAGCAACTGCCGACGTCGCGCACCTGTTCCATATTCGTCATTGTTATGTCGCACGGATCATAACGATTCAAAAAAAATTCCGTCTTCCGAAATTTGGGTACTCTTTATAAGCTGGGGTGCAAGTGTTCGTAAAGCCCGGAACCCGCGGACTCGAAACAGCTAACCGGATCCTTGTCGCCGCGCAATCACAACATGTCTAACCAGCTCTGCAAAATAGACTGTTAGACAGTTGACATACAGGCCCGAAACAGCAGAACTGTGAAAGACGGTTGACAGAGCCGTGGCACACGTGGAAGCTGCGATCACCGTACATCAACCTGTAGCAGTCCAGTGCTATAATTGCAGAAGAAAAATACTTGTCCTAAGGAATAGACTTGTCCTACGAAGTCCTCTAGGGCATATAATGTCCGGTACATATGTTGATATCGATATACGGGACGGGTGAGGCCTTGGGCAGGTTCCTGCACAAAGGATGATCCGCCACATGTTGTATCATGTAAGCTATCTTGCCAAGCTCGCGGCACTGTTGGCCTATGCCGGTTGGAGGTTGGAACTATCGGTTAGACGTTCGAACTGTTCGGTCCTCATTACCACTGCTGCGCTTAACTTACCACCTGTTTACTGAATTTGTATACAGGACTGTTTTATCCAATTGTTATTAAGGTTTGCTGCTTGCGAGGACTGTTGGTCGAGAACGCCAGCTGAATCCCGCACGATTGCGGGAGTCCATATCTGCATATGGGCCGGAGGCTTTATTATCTGAGTAAAGCTGGGACCTGTGTCCCTGCTTCAGTTGGTCATCCGATTTGACAGGGTTGACCTTCATGGCATGGACCTTGTTTAGTAGGCTTGCGGTGGTTAGGAGCCTGTCGCACAGGGCCCCACATCCCGTTGGGGCACATGCAGGGAACTCGTTCAATAGCACTTCTGCCATTTCATTTTTGTAATGTCTTCAGTCGGTCGTGGAACTATGGTAATTTCAGGCCCTGCGGGTACATGCTCATGTCTGCTCATGCCCTTGGCGATTCCATGGGGTATGGCGCTGCATCGAGTCTGCTGCCAAACCCTTATCTGCTGCCAAACCCTTACATATGGCGCCATACGCAAGACCGCTCCTGCGTCTTCTATAGCAGCTTCTCCTCATGACGAATTGAACGCTCAACTCTTAGCCATCTTAGCCAGGATATTTCGCAAAGCACCAATCATCGGAATTCCGATTACTTAAGAGCCCGTAAGGACACAGATAAGGACAGACCAAATATTATATTACAAAAGGGTTGGACAACGCTGGTGACCGTTCAGGGGGCTGCGTCCGCGGGTATTATATGCGCATACGGAAACACAACATGCTGGTATCGGTCTTATCAGATTCACTCTCTGGCCATATCGACATATTATCATCATCTAGGAAGTCCCGAGCGTCAGATGTGATGTGCTCCCTCCACACTCCGTCGCAATATCGTTATGGACGGTTACCTAACAACGAACCAACACAGCTCTCGTTGTCCTTCTATACAAGACCCATCACCACCATCATCTTCATCATCATCATCATCACCATCATTATCATCACCACCATTATCATCATCATCATCATCATCATCATCATCATCATCATCAGCAGCAGCAGCAGCAGCAGCAGCTCGGGTTCAGCAAAAAAGCTGCAATCATGAGTACGCGCGGTCAAAGTACTTAGCAGGGCTTTTAGGGTACTCGCATGGCTATAGCTTGCATTCTGCTGCTGGCCTCACGCAGCCAGGCCAGGAAGCAGGAAGATTCTAGAATTTCGCCACGTTTGTAACCTACCCTTATCCCGCACCACGAAAAGTGAAGCGCCTAGCAACACACCGTTATGGGGCCCATAAATGATGCGGCAGGACAGCAGATGTATCGCCAGACGGACTGACTAACTGACTGACAGACGCACAAACCACTCGTCACCCTCACACTCTCGCATACACGACACACATACGTACGCACATACATTCTCTCCCTCCTCACCCCCCTCTCCTTACGGCCAAATCGACATGTACTTCAATTCCCTCAGTAATTTCCGGAAGGGGATTTGAGCAGACGGTTCTCAGGCGGTTTGCTCATACCTCCTCCGCCTGCCATCCTTTCCCCCCATCACCCTCAAGCAGCGCCACTACAACATAGCGCCCAAGAAGTAGAGGGTTACCCCGCTTACCGGGGCTTCGACGTCCCCAGTTCGAACCACCCCCATGACGAGGTGGTGAGAAAACAACACGTTTTTCCCGCTCGCCTGTCCTCTCCATCCAATCGCCAAACCCGATCCGCCCGCCCATCCATTCATCCTAGTTTTTTGCATGCAAGTCCCGCACGCACAATATCCGTAATCATCCCCTGAACAAATCCCAAACCCCCAAACCCCCAAACCCCCAACACCACACCCCACCACCCCACCCCACAGGCACATGTCACACATACACCAACAACAGGGTAGGGGGAGGTTATTAACACAAACCAACAACACCTCCCGTCCGAAGGCCACTACCGTCCCCCTCCCCCTTCCATCTTACCGTGATGTGCCACACGGTGCACCCCTAACAGCCTCTAACAGCCCCTAGCCCATCTCCCCTCCCCCGCGGCCCCCATACACACCTCCCCTCTTCCTCCTCCTCCCAACCTCCCGCAATACCAGAAAACATAAAAACCCTAGTTATTTGCTCGGAAAGCAAACCTTGCTCGCTCGATACTTTTAAACGTGTTGCACCACCTATTTAATTGTGTTTTTCCCTTTTTGGAGTATTGCCCGGATTTTCGGTTTCGTCGCCTGGTCGAATTCGAATCCGCTTCCTTTACCTATCTTCCTCTCCAACCCGACATGGAACTGCATTGCCCCACGGTTCCCCTTCACTCCCCCCTCCTCCTCACTCCCCCTCCTCACTCCTCACTCCCCCTCCTCACTCCTCACTCCCCCCCTCCTCCTCATTGTCTCCCCTCCTCACTCCCCTCCTCACTCCCCATCCGTGGCCGACTTGTACACCTGCGCCACCACATCCGCTGCGGCTCCCCCGCCCCGCATCGTCTCCTCCACAAGGGACCGGAAATGCGACTGCGGGTTTCGGAGCAGCTGGGCGGGGGACCCGAACTCCCCCAGCTGCCCTCCCTCGAGCAACAGAATGCGGTCGCTGTCCACTATTGTGTGCAGCCGGTGGGCAATGGTGAGAACCGTACAGTCCCTAAAAAGAGTGGCAGGGGGGCAAGGGGGGGAGAGGTGTGTGTGTGTGTGCCGTGTGCGTATGTGCTCTGCCGTGCTGTGGGGGTATGCTGCCTTGACAAGGAAATACGGCGGGGGAGAAAGTATGTATGTGTGTGTGTCGCATATCAAGGTGAGGGGAGTGGGGAAACGCGGGAGTGGCTGCAGGTCTGCAGATTCTACCCTAGGGCTCTAAGGGCTGTAGAGCTGCAGGAAAATATACGGGCGCGGGAAGGGAACAGAGATGTTATGGGTTACAAAACCCGCCGCACCCCCGTATCCGCCATCCATCCCACACAGCCTTAGCCGCCAAAAAACACACAACCCACACATACGCACCCATCAGGACCGTGTACATGCAGGCAGTCCCCCCCTTTACACGGCCCCCATAAGACCCACTTGAACGCCGTACGGATGGTCCTCTGAATGAGCGAATCAGTCGAGTTGTCCACGTTGGAAGTGGCCTCATCCTGTGCCGGGGGATTGAGGGGGGTTCGGGGTGTGAGGGGGATTCGGGGGTGCGGGGGGTGCGGGGGTGGGGAGGAAATCATATACAAGCTACAAGTAGGCGGGAAATGGCGGGGTGCGTGGGGGCCGGGAGAAGAGGGGGGCCCGGTGTATGTGGGTGTGGCGTAGAGGAGGGGTATGAAGGGAAGCTGGGAGGCGTAATGTGGGATTGAGGGAGGGAGGGAGGGAGGGAGGGAGGGAGGGAGGGGGGTAAAACGGAGCCTCTGTGGGAGTGGCGATGAATGGCCGAATGAAGTCGACTGCAGCCAGAGAGATCACAAGAGCCAACCGACCCTCAAGACACCCTCCACCACCAAGTCTCCCTTCACATCACCACCTTTACCCCTTCCACTAACCATTACCTTTCTTCAACCTCCCGCTTCTCTTCTCTTTCCCCCCCACCCCACCCCACCCCATCCCTTTTCATGCCGCCTACTCTTCCTTACCCTCCCACTCCAGCCACCCCTTCCCATCCTTTCCCGCACCAAAACACACTTTGATGCGTACACACAGACAGATAGACAGACAGACAGACACACGAGCCACCCACCAGCACAAGGATCTTGCTCGCCCTCAGTAGCGCCCGAGCCATACACAGCAGCTGTCGCTGACCCACACTCAGATTGGCGCCACCCTCCTTCACCTCCGCGTCCAAACCCTGTAACCGGGGGCGGCGGGGTGTGGGGCGGGGAAAGAAGGAGGGGGAAAAGTCTTTCTTTCTTTCCAAAAGAAGAAGTCGGGATGGGAGAGGGAAGGGGGAAAGAAGTAGACATGGCGGATATTTAAATCGCCCTGGAACTGTTTGCGGAGGAGACTGCGGCAGATGGGCCCCCCCAGAGAGAAACGACTGGAAGGGGAGAAAAAATGGGAGGGAGGGGTAGAGGGCTTTCGCGCTGGGGAGCGGAAGCGGGGGAGGGCGAGGGCGGGGGAGAACCCCCCTCTTTTTCCTTTTCTCCCAGGATATTAACGAGTCCATGGCGTCCCCCCCCCCCGGGTTTTGACGGACGCACCCGGGGACGTGTACCTTGTACATCTCGTACCTTGTAATTATGGCAAGATGTGGTTGGGGGTGTACGGCAGTTGAAGTTCCCCGCACGTGCAAAACATAGGCCGGGTCAGGCATCGGTACTGCTACACCACATGCACGCACACACCCGCGGAAAAGAAAACAGACGCACGCTTTAATGTCGTGTTCGTACCTTGTCGTACGCCCGTACGGTCTCGTCCAGTCCCGCCCGCTTCAGCGCCTCCCACATCTCACCATCTCCTCGCGACTTGAATTGACCAAATGGATCCAAATTGGATCTCACAGAGCCCGAAAAGATGACAGGATCCTGAGGCACCAAACTCAGCCGGGATCGCAAGTCGTACAGGCCCATTGCCGTGATGTCGTACCCGTCAATCTTGATGGTTCCGGAGCTGGGCTCCACCAGGCGGTACAACGTCATCATGAGGGTGCTCTTGCCGCAACCTGTACGACCACAGACGCCCACTTTCTCCCGCCCCGAAATCTCAAAACTCAGACCACGAAGGACCGGATCCAGCTCGGCGCGGTACCGCACGTACAAATCCTGAATGCGAAAAAGGCAAGACAGGAGAAAGGGAAAAAAGTGGCAGCAAAAGATGCAACTTATTTTATCGTTCACTACGACAAATGAGGGAAGTTGAGGATGGAAGTTTATCTCCCTCTCCAACTGGTTAATTTCATGGGTAAAGAAGATATAATGCAACTGGTTAAATTGAACGATGTGGGTGTCGGGACATATCGGGTACGGAACACAAAGGATGGAAAACACACACACACACACTTCGTCACGGTGTGTGTGTGTATGTGTGTGTGTGTATGTGTGTGTATGTGTGTGTGTGTGTGTGTGTGTTTCGGTGGTGACTGCGGGGTTTCTCCCCCCCTCCCCTTTCCCAAACACACACAACACCGTCTGAAACGAGGAGAGCGGAACCCCTCTATGAAGGGGCGGAAGTGCAGCCAAACAGTACTAGTTCACAGTATCTCAGTCCCAAAGCCCCGCTCCCCTCCCCAAACCCCCCCACCCCCCCACCCCCCCACACACACACACTTTTGAAGTGATATGACCTCACTTAGTATTCCACACCTCGCCCCAGCGATGGCTTCCGGATACAACAAAAACCTGGAAAGATTGTCCTAAGCCCTAAAACCCCAAAACCTCCGGTCTAACCCCCTCGGTTTCACCTTGACGCTAATGGCGCCCTCCGTCGGCCAGTTCTTCGGTGGGCGATTGCTTTCAATCACGGCAGGAGCTTCCTCGTCGTACCTGTACGACAAATCACCAAAAACGAGAACTTCATCATCATCATCATCATAGAACGAGAAGATTTATAATGAGCATTTTTACATAAATCAAACTGTTTTTTTAAAAAGGAATCCTAGCGAAGAACCAGAGTTCCCCATCCCCAAAACTATATTTGAATTCAAAATTTAAAAACCCAAATCCGTACACAACTACCTGTTGTACTCCACCATTCGCTCCACGCTGTTCATGTTGACTTCCAGCTCCGTCGTTTGCCGTACCATCCAGTTCATAATTCCGGTCAAATTGAGAGCCGACGTAATGGCCAGACCCGCGAGTCCGGCATTGCGGGGGAAGATGACGGCCACGGTTACAGCAGCGGTAAATACGACAAATGCGCCCATGAGCTCCAGTCGTACAGACAGCCAACGGTTAACCACCTGGATGGGCCAGTAGGCTCGGTTGCTGTGGTTGAGGTTGGCCTGCATGGGGGTTTCGGTGGTGGTAGGGGGGGGGGGAAGCCCGCGGGTTAGGAAGGATTAGGTAAAGTGGGTGATCCGTGTACGGCTGTCAGGAATCTTTAGCCAAATAAAATTATTAATTGAATATCCCCCCCATGTATTACGGTAAGTCTTCCCTTCCCCCAAAAAATTAAAACCCAATATTTCAATAAAATTCTACAAACAAGCCGGAAAGCTGATTTATACTTTTCGGGTTTTCTGTGGGCCCCACGGTGCGGAATAAAAAGTAACTGGAAGGTTCTGTTTTTTATAATAAAAATTTAATTAATTAATTACAAATGTCGTACTGTTCGTACTGACCTAAAACAAGCCCCCCAAGTGAAAACCATCTTCTCCTTCTTCTTTCTCTCTGTCGCTCCCTCCCTCCCGCCTTTTCAAGGACATCCTTTTCCTTTTTTTACCTCCTCCTCCTCCTCCTGCACTTTGCCCTGCTCTCCCCCCCGCTCTCAAATTTACTCTCCCCCCCTTCTCCCCCTCACAACTCTTACCCTGGGGCAGCAGCTTCACTCGTTTGTGGTTCGTCTTTCTCCCCCCTTCTCCCCCTCACAACTCTTACCCTGTTCTTGTCCATAAACTGGTCCATCTTACGAAACGCCCGAATAGTCGTAAGGCCCGTCAAGGTCTCCCCAAAATGCTGAAATATGGGCGAGAACGCCAACGAGTCCAACCGCTTCAACTCCCGGGAAGAGGCGATGTACAGCTGCTGTACACGGTAGTACACGAAAGACAGCGGCAGGAAACACACCACCGCCAGCGGCGTCACCACCACCACCACCACAACCGACAGCATGGCGGTGACGAAGGTGGAAAGCGCGGAGTTCACGGCGCCCGATACGTTGATGTCGAGTGCCTCCGTGTCTTTCGTAAAGCGGTTTAGGAGCCGACCTGGGACGGGGGTTGGCGGGGGGTTGGCGGTGGGGAGGAGGGGGGGGAGGAGGGGGGGGAGCGGAGGGCAGTGTGTGTGTGTGTATGTGAGGCAATGTAACCTTAGGTGATCCTGCAATAACAAGCATAGGATCTTTGGTTCTAGATAAAACAAAAGATGATAAAAAAAGGTGATTTAAAAACAAATTGTAACTTTATTCATAGTAAACATTTTTGTTAATTTGGTCGTGATTTGGATGTGTATGTGGACAGATACGTGGGCGCGGAGCACAATGTCGAGGTGTATAGGGTTGTACGGAAAGGGCGAGGGAGTTGAGGGCGAGAGAGGCGATAAAGTGGAGCTGGAATAAGGGGTTGGAACGGAGCCGGAGTAGGAGGTCTGCGACGGGAGTTGCACGCCAGTTGGTATCAACCACCCGAAACCCGTACGACATACACAGCTTTTCCTCCCCTCCCCTCCCCCCCCCGCACACACCCTTACCCCGTCCGCCCACACTTGCGCCTCTGAACTTCTCCACAACCCCACCTTCGCCACCATCACCAACACCATCACCATCACCATCACCACCACCACTACCACTACCACCACCACCACCGCCGGAAACAATCCCAAGCCCCCCTAAAACCCACACAACTGCCACTGACCCGTGGGTTGCTGGTCAAAGAAGCTCATGGGCAGTCGTACGACCTTGTCCAGCAGCTTCTTCGCCAGCAGTCTGGACGCTCTAATGGAGCCCAGGATGAGCAGGAAGGAGCGCAGCAGCTGCACGCCGATGGAGCTTAAGCCCAGGATGAAGTACAGCGACAGGTACTTTCTGCGCGCGTGCGTACGTATGTATATATGTAGGTAGGTAGGTAGGTAGGTAGGTGTATATGAGTACGTATGTACATATATGTACGTGTATCCGGAGGACACGGTAGGGTGGGGTAGGGGCGGGGAGAGGAGAGCAGGAGCTCAAGGATGGATAGAGCAAAACCATCACACGCGAGGACTCAAGGGAGGGGCTAGGTCAAATTTCAAGTCAGAAGCCCCCCGGCCATTCCCCCTCCAGACCGCATCACAGTCGGGGGCCTTTTCGACAAGTGCTGTCGTACCGCATATAAAATGGATCCCAAACCCTCCTTTACCCCCATCCCACCCACGCACCCCCCCACCCCCCACAAGGACACGACACCCCCAAACCCCCCAAAAAAACACCTAAACAACCCCTAAGTGCTACCGAATATACACTGGAAAAGAAAAAACCCTAAACAAAAAATATAGTAAAAAAGAAAAATACATAAGCTAACCTCGCTTACCCGTTGTGTGCTCGCTTGTGTTCCTCCTCCGCCTCCGCCGTGGCGTTAGACCAGGACGATAGCACAAAGTTCTGCAGCACCTGCAGCCCTCTCTCCCCTAGCGCGAAACACACGACCGCCACGGGCAGCAGGTACGCTACCGACCAGGCTAGCAGGTAGGCCGCATACACAGACCGCTCCACACGGCCTTTGGCACGCTCCTCGACCTGGGGGGGGGGGGCCGGAGCGAGGGGGCCGGAGGGGGGGAAAGACGAAGTATTTGTGCTCACTTTAACAACAAGTACCCGCTCCTTGGTGCAAAAAAGGACAGTTTTCGAGAAGTTTAAGGAACCACGAACGAGTGAAGCGAACGACGAACGAGTGAACGGGGAAGAGGGGGCCGGAGGGGGAAAGGTTAAGTTGGGGTTTGGGAACTCCCGGGGATTTTAAAAGTCACA